TTTTTAAAAGAAATCAAACAAGGTCATACAGAACGAATTTAAGGATGATGGACTTGTTTATTCAACAAAGAGGATGTCACTGCCTGTAACAGTAGATGATTTACCGGTGACGGAAGAAGCAAGATGCAGGTTACAGCTGGAACAAGAATTTTTAAACTTTGATTATTATCAAACAGAAGAGAATGTCAAGAGTGCGTCGTTTTATGATAGATTTAATAAATGGTTTAATTGAGTCTGCAAAAATAGGGAATGAGTTATTCATGTAAATATCATCAACAAACATGTCACTTACGATCCTTTGCAAAATTTACTTCCACAAAAGCAAGGTATCTTGTCCGCTTCAATAGGGAATTTGTAGTCATAGGTAATTTCTTCTCCTGGCTCAATATCTCTATTAGCATAAATCACTACCTTTTTCTGCTTATCAACTGTAATAATCTTTGCACTGCAGTTGGGCTATTTTACAGATAAGTATTTGTTTATATCCTATTGTTGTGATTCTTACCGTGCAGCAGTGGTTAATAAATCGAGCCATTCCTCCCTTTTTGGTAGCATCAATGACCATATCATCATCCACACGGAAGAGATAACTACTACCGATTCCAATGCGTTCATAATGCTTTTCTCGAATCTCGGCTACTTGCTGACGAATCACCTCTCCAATATACTCAATTACGATATCATGCGCATCGATATGTTCTCCTGCATATAGTCCCCATTCATGAATAGGCGATTTAGCAAAGATAAGACGCTTCTTCCTCTTTTTAAGTTGGTTAAACTTGAGTAGATCCGATTCTGCCATCGTCTTGTTCTGAATCATCATGCCTGAGACAAGTCGGCGATTATTGACACGAGTTGATCTTGAGCTTGTTGTCACTTTGTTATCCACGGTCAACGCTCTGTTTCGGTTTAAGTAGGTCGCCTTGACTGATTCTGGTATAGGGCTGTATGCTCTTGTTCTAGCTGATTGACTCAGGGCATCACTAGTCTCATCTTCCTTTTTTAATGAATCCAATAGCTCTAAATAATATAAAATGCATTACTAACTCTATCTCCAAGCTTATTTACACATTCAGGTACCTTGTTTTAAACCCGACTGTACTTTTTCAATTAGTGCGATCCGTAAATATTTCAAATCTTCTGTGTCCTTTGTTTGGTAAAATGGATCCCAATCCTTATCAAGCTCAATTTCTTGAATTGGTTCATTCAACCATAACTCTTCTTCCTCATCCACCTGATCAATATTCTCCAACAATTCTTCCATCGTCATCTCATCTAGATCGGATGTCGTACTCACTTCTTCATCATCTTCGTCTGTATCATTATTATTACTACTGTCCACATTATTATGATTATTACTACTACTACTACTGATGCTACTACTGCTAGTATTATTGTTGAGGATATTTTCTGACACGCTGACTGGTGCCTTTTCTGAATCATCAAGTGACCTTTTCTTTTTTGAAGGCGGATCAGCCAGTTTTGAATTCGAGTTTCTCTTTCTCTTGTTCTGTGTCTCGATTTTCAGTGGTGTTGCTTCTGTTGTTGTTGATGGAGCCAAGAAGTCACAGGTAGGAAGAGGGGCTGATCCAGCATCTTTGATAAACAAGTTCACATAATCCTTAATAAGAGATGACGTTTCAGGTTCTATCCTGATATCCACACTATATCCCGTGATTGTCTTTACACACTTTTGTGCTTCTAATGCTGTAGACTTCGAAGGAAATAGGATGTACCAGTCATGATCGTCATGATAAATCTAAGCAGTGCATAAAGGTTAATTCTCGCGCGTCTTCTTTTTTGAATAAAAATAATAATAAACGCGTGTTAGCTTACGTTCATATAGTTATAGGGTGCCAGAGCCTTTTGTAGTTCTTCAAGCATGTTTTGAGTCAAAGGTAGAAATTGAGTAGAAATCGCACCTCGTATATACTGTTTACTATTCTTCATGGCTTGTCCTGAAGCATTGTGTCAAAAAGTATTTTTTATTTTTCAAATAAACAACTTACCAAGTGATTGTACTTCCAAGGAATCAGAAACAGCAGTAGCGCTTTGGTCATTACATTGTTGAATAGCACGTAAAGCAGCACTCTCATCCTCAAATGTGACTTTGGCCAGTCCTGACATTAATTCAACTTGATCTACTTTACCGTATGCAGAAAAGATGTTTTCTAGTTGTGTTTTAGTTGTTGTAGAGGATAGATTGGAAACGATGACTATCTAATAAAAAATGAGAAAAAGAGGTCAAATATATAGCAAAAAAAGGACAACTCAAAGATATACTTTTTTATCTTGTTCACTCATCAATGTCAAACTGGCAAAGAAAAAAAAAGGAGAGAAAAAGGGAAAATATACTATTCAGAATCAATGTCGTACACTGGGTTCCCGATTTCAACGATTTGCGATAGAAAAAAGAAAAGAGTGTGCCTTTTTGATGCCGAGAGCATCTTTAAGTATCATTCATTGTATCGACATTGATTCGTCTGTTGGTGATAATACACAAGGAAAAAAAGAGGGATTTCCAAGCTTATGTGATCAAATTGCCCAACAAAGAGGTACATTGTATATCGATGTATCACAACAACAACAACATTCAATGTGTGTAATATATAATATATAGTCTTGGAGTGTTTTATTATCTTAAAAAGCGAAATTCCAACAAGACATTGACGACACAACAAGTAGAGTACACAATAATCATCCACCAGCCTAGTCCTTCGTTAATGTGATATCCATTAATATTAACAACAACGAGTGTGCTTAATAATACTGTAATAAGACCACAAGAAGAAATCAAGATTGTAGGTGCAATATCTAATTCATATGGTTTACTTGTAATCCATGTTTGGTAGGTTGATGATATGCCTACACCAAGGACCATATCTATTAAGCATACAACATTAGTTTCTCTATGATCTATGCAATATTACTTTTAACTTACTTAATAATGGGCCAGCATAGCAAGCGGAAATAGCCATAGTAGGAAACCCCATTTTGGCAATAGCAGTATTAGCTACCAAGTCGCCCACGCTATTACCCTATGGTAAATGAGCAAATGAGTTACAGTCTATAAAAACATCTTTTTATGATCCTTACCAGTGCAAATATAGTCAGACCCATGATTGCTTCGCTAATATCGAATATAACACCAAGTGCTTGTAAGAGCCCCACCATTTCATTAGCTAGTAAAAATATCCAATTCAAAGCAATGATAAAACCTGCAAAAGATAGCATCCAATACCATCGAGGCGGTTCATGCTCTTTTGTGTGGTAGAGAACAAGTCCGGATAAGATACAGCCAGCAAGGAAGCCGATAAATATAAAGAAGAAAGGAATAAATCCGTTTACTAGATGAATCAGATCAATCACATAGGAAATATGACAAAAAGAAAAAGACTTACAGAACATGACACAGGTAACAAAGGTAGTTGAGCATATTGCCTGTGTAGCCAGTAACCATCGACACCAGCTAAGTTGTGCTTCATTAATAGGTTCTTCTTCCTCTTCTATATCAGGATAACTTTCTGAGGCTGGTACAGTCAAGTAACTCTTATTCACCACCACTTGGGGAATCGCTTCCTCTATAACTTCAATATCATCTACCTTGATATCATCTGCCTCTGTTACAGGTAAAGTGAGTGTTAAGATAAAGACTATGGGTACAGCCACGAGAGCATTCAATTTTCCAAAGGTTGTCTTTGTACTCCAGTCTTGTAACGTCGGAAACAGGACACAGACGACCTCCGTGATCCACAACGGCTTTGTTGGCTCAGGGGTGAGTAAGAGGGCAGGTTGTTTATCAGGTTCCTCTACGGCCTCCTGATCAGTGGGATAAATTGGTGGAGCAAGTCTTATTTCAGGAATAATATCGTCTTGAGTCAAAGGATTAGCAGAAATGAAGGTAAAGTAATCTTCTTGAGAACTTTCAGGGGCTCTTGCAGTCCAGAGGTGATCTACATTCAAATGGCTTCGTGTGGAAATACATGGGACGGATTTTTGCGATGACCTGTGGATCAAGCCGGACGATGAGGGATGACTTGTCCGTGGTGTGCTCATTAGTTGAGTACTGTTGGCTCGTCGAATACTAATCACTTGCTCTTGAAACTCAATAGCACTAAATAAGGATGTTCGCATGCCAATACGCGGTGACATGGCGTGCCTATAGAGTCGAGATGAGATAGAGCCGTTGGTGCTTGACGTGCGTGGGAAATTGGAATGAAAGGATGATTTGCGAGAGGGATGAGATGAATTGGGTGAGACTGGTTTAATTATGTGTCCAAGGTGTTCTTGAGATGAAAATCCGTGGATGGGTATATCGAGCCTAGGAGGTTTCTGGCGTCGTTCTATAGGGTGATCAGTAACATTCAATCTTGTTGAAGCATACCCTGACTTTACCTTCCTGAGATGAGCTCAACAGCCTTGATGTCTCCGATAGTAGTTCCTGAGTTGTATGCATTGATTTTGGCTCAGGTAATACTGGTGTTTCTGCTCCTGGGGACCTATACGCGCCCATTACGACAACAATTACATATACGAGGTAATAGGCAATCAACAGGACACCATGATACCAGCAGATGCGTCTGTGATAGACAATCCAGGTTAGGATCATAATTGCTCCTGTAAGAAATGAGGCGTCTCGCATGAATGTAATACGTTTCGACCTGAACGGGCGAATGATACCCATGCAGCCAGATACAACAGAGACAATAAAAAAGGCTGCTCCTATCAATTCACCTATTGCCAACGAACCAGATCCGCTATTCATGGCACTGAAAGAAAAAAAAGAAATAATCAATATGAGTTATGATCAATGATAGTCCTTACGTGAATGTGCTAAACAAATCAGGGCTGCCGTTGCCAAATGCAAGTACGGTTACACCAGCCTATCAATAAATATTTTAATTTATACGTCAACAATAAACAAAGTCATATGTACCATGCTTTCTGATAACTGTAATTTGGATGATATTGTCTGAAGATTAGGGCCTATGATAAAGAAAGATATATATGAGTGATAAGCATAATATATGATAAAGTCCTTTACAAAAGAAGTCAGCTGCAACTACACTGACTGCACCAAATAAAAATAACAGTCCTGATAACTAATAGAATATAAGCAAACCTTTTTAAGCAAAGATATATAATTACCATGATCACCACACATAGTGGCTTCCAAATGGTTGAGCAATAATAGAATTTTAAAAAGTAGCCACTGAATCCGTGACAATAAGTAATAACAAATGAACATTGATCTTCATGTCTCTCTATATCAGAACACTTTTTTTTTTGCATAAATAACAGTGATTAAATAGAACTAAAGACTTACAGTCTTGTGAAGTTGTGAAGAAACTGGAATTAATAATGAACATGACACAATAATTGGAAATATCGACAATAAAATTAACACATATTTTGTTGTTCTCATATTGACAAAGAAAAGGGAAAAAAAAAGAAAAAAAGAGAGAGAGAAATAAAAGGGGGGGGGATTTATACAATGTTTGATCCCTTTAACTTTAAGTACATAAACTTTGGTGCGGCCAGTCAATATTTGTATGTGATAAAGAGGGACTTAGGACAGAACAATACTGATGTTTCTTACTCAACTTATGAATAATTTGATTGGCTCATAATTTTGAAATCAGTTCACTCATTTTCTAAAGCTTCCATAGCGAAGTTTTATGCAAGTGTCCTTTCTGGTCTTGGCAAAGAAAAAAAAGAAAAGAAAAGATCTTTTCTTATTAATATAACAATAAACGAATGCTTGCTTATCAAAAGTATAAATTAACTCTAATAAGAGACTGTGAATACAGGTAACCTTACTAATGATAAAATGACAATAGATCAAACATACCCATGGTTAGTCCAAGATCACAAGAAAACAGAGTATGAAGGATTTTTCTCCATTTTCTTTAATGAATCATTCGGTGACTCAGTGTATGATTTAAAGGTTTTACATTTTAAAAGGTAACCTTTTTTGGTTATGAATAAACATCCTTGACGCAAGAGAACTTTTGAATAGTGTTGTGCGAGGGGGGGGATCAACATTTGCCTTTTTAGACTGTTAGTGCAACAGCCCTTTTTGTACTCTTTGTCGATCTTTGCTTGTTCGTCTCTTTTGCACTTTTATACACGCTTTAATTAAATAATCTCTCTTTTTATAGTTTTATTAAAATACGGGATATTACAATACAATGGACAACAGGAAAGGAGTATAGGGAGAGCAATGGAGGGGAACGACGGCATGTACAAAAACATGAAACCCATTATTTACTGCTCGCTACATATTTTATTTGCTTAAATTTATTAATGAATCCTATGCCTTGTAAAGTAAGAGATGAACAAACCTGACTGCTCCAATGTTTGGAGTGCTGGAAGATGTGCAATTCTAGAGAAGAGGAAGTAGCCACTGTTGCTGTAGTCAAGTAAACCATGGTAAGAGGGCAAGAAATTTGTGCTGTCATCTGCATCTTCCAGTTATTTATCGCTGTAGTCAGGGGGTTGCGAATGTCGCTCTGTTAAAACAGAGTGGCGTCAATAAGGTCGCTTGCATTGAAACACTTGGCCAATGAAATCGGACTTTGCGCCAAGCATAAAATTCACCAGCCACGCAGGATCACGAATAAGATGCCAAGGCAAAGTAAGGGATACGCAAAAAGGAAGGATCAGAATTTATATAAAAGAAGCGCTTGCTAAGCGAGAGTGCTTGCTCACAGTAGTTTGCCTCGATCTAAGATAAGATCCCAAATCCTTTATACTGTTGCGAACTACTCGAATGTTTCATTCACTGGAAGTATCAACTAGTTATCAACACGGATCAAACAATGATTTAGACAGTATGGAGGTAACGCCAGGCGGCAATATCTAACAAGTACAAAGAGAACGATTACCTATGTGCCTTTTGGGCGAAGAGTACTAGAATACAATGGATTGCTCCTAAACTAGCTAATAGAGCGTCTGCCTTCAAGAATCCGAAAGTTGAAAAATACCGAACAGTGTCTATTTGGTTTAGAAGTGAGGATAAAATTTATATGGATTCTAAGATCAGCTGTGTCTTTCTTGAGATGTTCAGTGAAGTAAGTCATGCTTAATGGCCCGAGTGTGTTTACAGTAGAGGATATCTACTTTTGCAATTGTATCAAAAGAGAGTTACAGGAAATAATGTACTTCTCCTTCAAGCTAAAGTGCTCTCACCAAAGCATTAAAGTATGCTAAAGACGAATGTGATCATGGCTCTGTTACACCTTTCTTTTAGCAGATAAAGAGATTAAAGCAAATCCGTAGATAAATCCCCGCGCCAAGTAATTTTTTCCTTTTTTTTTTTTGTTATTGTCTCAATGGATAAAAAGCAGCACAGTAATGTAGGCGATGTAGACGACTTACCTCCACCATCCTATGAAGAAGTGATTAACCCACCATTTAACCCAAACTACTCTGCTTCCTCTTCAACTGCACAGCCTCAACCTCAACCTTCAATCTCACGGCCCATCTACCCACAGTTACCTTCACCACCTCCTGCAGTTCAACATCACGTGAGATATCAAACAATAGAGATACCTATGCCAGTGCAAACACAAAGAAGAAGAATGTTGATGGAACGAAGACAGTTTCCGATAGCAGCCGTCTTCTTTCTTTTTGGCTGGTTTTGCCCGCCCTTGTGGATACTTGGTGCCTGCTGCTGTGCGGGTAGTAGAAACGAATATGAAGCCTGGTGGGGTAAAGTGAATTTTGTGATGGCTGTCGCATTACTTGTATCGTCCATATTTTATTCTATATTTACCTGTCTTCAGTATTACTAAAGAATAAGACTCTTTATTCTTCTTCTTTTTTTTTATTGTTTGTTGACAGACAAATGACATAAGCATTTGCTTATATTTAAAAATAATAATAATTCTGTGCATATAAATATAATATCATGTGAAGTTACAGGCTTTCATTTTATACAAGATGTATATACTTTAGAACGTCGTCAAGAAGTGTATCTATACTATCTTCTTCATTCAGCTGATATATAGACTTTATTCATATTCATCATACTTTCATCTCTTAAAAAGAACGTATTTTAATTAAACAAGAGAGAAACAAAGGGATGTCACGTACTTAAATGAAGCCGAAACTCAAATTTGAATTTCGTTCTTTCTTTCCTTACATTCTGCGTTTTTCCTTAAAAGATGGTTTACGGAGGAAACAATATAGAGACTATTCCTGTACTGGACAATCCAAAGGCAATCCATATCGGATACAATTTAATTGACTACATTGCCTCTACTTTAACCACCCATGTTCCCGTGTCTACCTATTGTATTATTACAGACACTAACCTAGCTCCACTCTATTTACCTCAGCTCATATCAGCCTTTCGTGCCCACATGAATCAGAATCAAAGGCTACTTACCCGAGTCTTACCACCAGGTGAAATGACCAAGTCTCGACAGGGCAAGGCATCCATTGAAGACTTTATGTTGAACCAATCCTGCACGAGAGACACATGTTTGATAGCACTAGGCGGAGGTGTGGTTGGAGATCTAGTCGGGTTTATCGCCGCTACTTTTATGCGCGGTATCCCATTTGTTCAGATACCAACTACGCTTTTGGCGATGGTAGATTCAAGTATAGGAGGCAAAACAGCAATTGATACTCCCCACGGCAAAAACTTGATTGGTTCCTTTTGGCAGCCCAAGTTCATCTTTATGGACCTGGAGATGTTAAAATCATTGCCTCCGAGGGAATTGGCAAATGGTATGGCCGAAGTCATCAAGGTATGCTTTTAATGATCTCTCTGTGATTATATGTTTAAATTATTTTCTGCAGACGGCAGCTATATCAAATGAAGCCGAATTCGTTAAATTGGAAAAGGGAAAACAAATAATAGAATCAGTCATTTTAGGAACAAACCAAAATAGCGAAGGTTTGCTTTATTATATGTGCCCCTTTATATATGTGATCATATTAACCTTTTTAAAGATAAAATGTACGTCGCCAGTGTTATCTCCGCTTCTGCTCGGTTCAAAGCTGATGTAGTCACCAAAGATGAGCGAGAGACTGGTCTTCGTGGACTCTTGAATTTTGGTCACACCATTGGTCACGCTATAGAGGCTGTACTTGCTCCTTCCTGGCTGCATGGTGAATGTGTCTCGGTTGGTCTTGTGATGGAAGCAGAGCTCTCTTGTTATCTCGGTCACTGTGCCCCAGGCGTTGTCGACAGAATAAAAGTGTGCTTAGACCTTTACAGTCTACCTACTCTGCTGAATGAAAAGGCCAAGTCAATGCTCACCATTGATAGGATTATGACGGCAATGAAGGTTGATAAGAAGAATAAAGGTTCCCAGAAACGCATCATACTTTTGTCAGCTATTGGTCAACCCTTGGAACCCAAAGCAAGTGATGTATCCGACGAGCCTATAGTCATGATCCTCAGGGGCCATATAATTCCAAATTCAGTACAACCTGACACAGAAACAGACGAGGAATCAAATCAACACACTCTTTCATCCAGCTTTACGCTAACCTTTCACTCAGACGTAGCACCTTCGCATTTACTATTCAGCTTGCTCGAAAGTCGATATCAATGTAACATCGTGAAAAGAAATGACCAAGTGTACGATTGCAAGCCTAAAGCTAATACCGAAAACAAAATCATCTCTGTCTTCATCACTCGTACACCAGGAATAGCCTGCAATAACACAATGGCCTATGAGTACGTTTTACTAGGCGATTTGGGCAAAGAAGAATCCTGCAAAGATTTGTTTGCATTCATCTATATGGTCACCCAGAGAAAAACGAACGCTCGCCATGTCTGTCGAAAGGACAAACTGACGACATTCATCACACCAACTATACCAGACTATTCAACTCTCTTACCTGACGTAATGAATCAATGGTTGGAAGGTGCAGACGCTATTGAATTCAGGGTTGATCTCATTCTGACATATGAACGATTCAGGGCAGACCCAAAGAACTGGGTGAATATCACAGGCACCCAGCTTGCTCATCTTCGACGCATGACCAAGCTTCCGGTTATCTTTACGGTCAGAACAGAACCTCAAGCAGGAACATTCGATTCCAAGCTCAGTCAAGAATACATGGAACTTGTCACCTGGGGCCACAGATGGGGATGTGATTATGTAGATGTCGAGTTCACCATGTTGCCCAAAGGTACATTGAACGAACTCATGTCGTTCAACTGTCGCTTTTCCCCCGTATCAAAAATCATTGCCTCATTCCATGATCCTCAACATACTATGCGTTGGTCATTGCCTGAGATGATGCATGTCTACAAGAGAGCAGAAGGACTCTTTGAAGAACACAATCATCCTGGAGTCATCAAACTCGTAGGTTTGGCACAAGATCATATGGACAATATCGAGCTTGAACAGTTCCGCCGCTCTGTGGACCCTGAAGGCAATAAAGAAATCATCTTGATCAACATGGGCCCTAAAGGCAAATACTCGAGAGTCGCCAATCAGTTCTTGACACCAGCTACGCATCCTACTTTGCCTTCAGCTGCTGCTCCTGGTCAATTATCCATTGAGGAAATTAAAAGTATCAGACAACAACTGGCTATGGAATAGTGATAACATACTTTCGAATTTTGCTTTATTCTACATAAATAAAGCCCCAATGAATGAAAAGAATAATATAATAAAATGTACGAAAACAAAGAACCTATAGAATAAGGGGGGATATACAGATGATGGTGATGCTTGTTTTAATTATCAAGGTTATGCAGTACTCTTCCAACAAGATAGGTCTCATCTCTAATTGTTTCAGACCAACCTCTTCCTATTCTAGTGCCCAGTTTAATAAGATACAAAATCATTCCACCAATCAAGGCGGTTGGATAAGTCACTCGCAATAGTCTTAGCTTTAGGTCATTATCCATATTGTCTATTTGATAAAATTATCAGCATTGTCTTTTTCTCTCTCTTTCTTTACCATCCCATCACTCACCTAAGAATTTGAGATCGATATATGCCATCAGAGGCGGAAGACAAACTCCTAGGGTACTCACAAATAGAACAGGTCCTATAATATCCCTAAGACACTGTCGAATATTCATTCTACCAATTCCACCTTGGAAGACCTGAACGGGATGCGTTAGTTTACACGTTACTTTATAAAGCATATCTTTACAATATTGATCGTAGCTCTTAATTGGTTATCTGGTAAAACTTGGGCTAACCCATGCACAACTACCATACATACAGTACCGTTTGCCCAGAGTGGTATAATGCTGACTTCAAGAGGAAACTTTTTTGTGTTGCTTGTGGGAATAATAAAATAAAACTCCATGAGAGCACCCAGAGCAAAAGGTACGATTAGTCCGAATGAAACTAAAAAGAAAACCCATCGAAGTGCCTAAACAGAGATATATAAGGTACGTCTCTTTTTTTCTTCGATTATTTACCTTGTATAGACATCGATGAGCGTATCTTGTCAATTTCTTGAGCTTGGAACGAGCAGTTCTTTGTCTGCTGACGTCAATGATTATCTTTACAGCTGAGTTTAGCATGGATGAGACGAGTAACAGGATAGAAGCGCCCAGAGAGTACGAGTAGATGTCATGGACATTTTGTTTTACTCCCAACTTGTGTTTAAAAATTGCTCTTCCGAGCAAAAGAGGTACTACAACAGATGCACATAGAGCAAAGGTTGAAACAAGCCAGACAATGGTTACCATAGCTATAACGCGTCTGTAAAAGTGAGGAGGGCTATAGACAATGGTCGTGTTTGCTTCGTCTCCACCATCGGCAGTAGAGGCGGGATGACCTAGTCGTCGTTCATTTTCATCCAAGGGTTCATATACAAATGGGTCAACGGGAACAAGCATCCGACGATTGGGGATCACAGGCACACGATCATGCTTTGGTACACGTAATAACTGACCATTCCAGATAAAAGACACTTCAGGTCCAATCACGCTCGTTGTCTGTCCCGGAAGAGGGTAGTATCGAGGTTTAGCTCTTTTTATCCACGCAGTCCATGTATGGTACACTAGTTCTCCTTCTTCTCTTGGATCTCTACGTCCAAACACAAAGGATGTCAAGCGAAGTTGGTGGCAAGTGAATGTGATGAGTCGAACAAACCATTTCTTAATAATTCTCTTTGGCTGTAAATAATTTATAATGGCTGGCAAGGCCAGCTGGGTGGTTAGCAAATCGATTGGAACAGTGGATAGAGGATTTCTGGCATCTCTTAGTTAAACATATATTCAGCAAAGTCATTTCCCCCTTTCTCTTTTTTAGTTTTAACTTACGATAATCTCCATCTTAAAGGCAAGACTGTGTTTCCCATCAGATTCAATGCATGGATTACTCCACCAATACAGACAAAGATGACAAAGATATAGACCAAGCCGCTTGCACCAATCTTTTTATACTGAAAGAGCACAGGTCGTTCTACGATTTCCCGAAGAGGATGGAATTGAGGATCCGTGGGGTCTCTGATAAACCACATCACACCAGGACGTACGATGCTACGGCAGAGGGTGACAAATACTGCAAATAAAAACATAAAGCCTGTACCGATAAACCAATGGATGAATATTGAAGACACTGGATTTGATTTTGAAAGCTCCATGCGACTTTTTAAGGTAGCACCTTCAAATAACGGAAGGGTGGTGGCATCAAGCAAGGCACCACAGACGAGAGGGAATATGAGAAGTTCTATAGTAATAAACATAGTGAGTTTGAGAATGATGATGTATTGGCGTAAGGCTTCTTGAGCAGTGTTTCCAAAGACGCTGTACACAACTTTTGATCGAGTGAAGCATATGCATAAAAATAAGGCGAATAAAATGTACCCCATAAAAATGCACGAAAATCGATCAATGGGTGATTCGCCCAAAGCAAAGAGCTGGTATCGGTTATACAAGGACTTTAGAAAAGGCTTGCTTTGGTTGTAAAGGGCTGTGATATCTATCATACCAGCAGAGCGATCTGTTCCTAGTCCTGTTGTAGGGATAGCTGATAAATGATCGGGTGATATACTATGGCTGATTTGTTGAAAGAAACGAGAGCTTATCATGGTTTGAATCAATGGGTTCAAATAAGAGTTATAAAAGAGCACTACAGTTGGCCAAATGTGATCAAAATAAATAGTCAAGAGAGGGTCAAGTAGCGGATCAGTAAGCTTTCCGACATATTTGTGTATCAGGCTAATAATCTCCAAAGGAAATTCGATAAATTCTCGCTCCATCGCAAGTATGAATATCGCTCCCATCATGTAGGGAAGACACACACCAGTAAAGAGAATGAGAGCTATCAGCAAAGCCATCAAGGTAGCATTCTGAGCTAGTATCCAAAAGCTGCCTCGCATACCAATTGCTTCCAGTACGCCTTCAACATCTTCACCAAAATTACCCATGCCGTCATCATCATCCTCTTCTATGCCCTCATCACCATCGGCGCCTGCTTCACCATCAACTTCATCATTATCATCTTCATCATCTCCATCTTCAGGTTCAGACTCATCGGACTGTTCATTCACTTCAGGCACAAGCCTTTCTATCCATTGGTGCTCCTGAAGATTATTCATCCTATCTTCGTCGTTCTCTTGTTCCTCTGGTATAAGTGGAATATTTAAAATTGGTGTATCTGCATTTCGTACAAGAGGCGCATAAGGAGGGCGCCCTCTAGTCGACTGAGAGCCGTTTTCTTGATGCATTAAAAAGGGTTCCACACTTGCAGATCTAGGCTGTCTTCCTTGTTGTTCTTCCATATCATGACGGTATGAAGGAAATGAAGGAGGCATGGATGCAGCACGCATTGGTTTTGCAGTTGAGGATGATGATAAATGCGTCAACCACTCATCAAGCTCATCCTCTGACGGCGCCACTGGAGAAGGTGGCGCTTCTACTTGTTGAATCTGTTCAGCTTCTGGCTCTCTTACGAGTGGTTCTTCAAATATAGGCTGCTGCATCTCTGGTATAAAGTCATTAGCTGCTCGCATCTGTTCTGCTTCATCGATTGCTGGTAAGTTTTGCACAACCCATTCCCTTAATAAGAATATAGCTACAAATATGATAATGACAACGCACGTAATGATTTGTCCTTCAAAACAGTCTGATAGAAATGCTCTAAGGTATACCATATTAATCATCCACTTCGTTTTTTTTTTTTTGTTTCAAGTCGATCTATGGTATTTACTGCAAATTTAGTCTGGACTTGTACTCTTGGAAGAAGCTCTCGTTTGGCTTTGTATCTGTCACATTTTGTCCTACTCTTAATTGATACAGGTCAGCAAGTTGTCTTGATAGGGAATGTCCCATATAAAAGTAAAGTCGCCATATCCAAACGGTAAAGTAAGGTAGGATTGTCAACCAGACGTTAAAAACTAATGTAGCACGTAAAGCATTAGAAATGACAAATCCAACCTTTTTTCGAAGTTGTTGAAGGTATAAAACAGCTGGTAAGACTTCAGGCATATCTTGCCTATACACTATGATATGGCTATTTTTAGACTATTGGCAAACTATGATGATCAACCATGTATATACCTGGTGTAAAAGTAAAGGGATGTTCACATAATTCACAACGTCTAATAACAAAGCATGTCAATATTCATCTCTCTTTTCTTTCTTTTTTCTTTACTCTTTTCTACTATGCTTTAACCATTCCAACAGACTATATGTGACGTGTGTGTTGTGATGAGTATAAAGAGCTTAAATGACTCATTTCTTTTTTTTGTGTCATTACCAATCTTGGTGTACATATCGAATACTACCCGAGCATTTACAAGGATAGAATAAAGGTTGGTCTTCTGTTCCTCCTGAACGGCATACTCTACAAATTTCTTTTAAAATAGGGGATTTATCTTTTTTAATATGAAACAAAAGTAGGTTCTGCAAATATACCTTCTTCCTCTTCCATGAATGCTTTAGGAAAAAAAAAAAAAAAAAGCAAGAAAAAAAAGGGGGGAGATAAAGGAGTACAAGAAGTGGGTGTAAAGTCACGAACTTATTTATCCTTGGTAACTGTCAAAAAGGACAAAAAAGAAAAAACACGTTCCATTGTTTGCAGATAATGGAAGTTTAGTTGCTATTATGCAAATAATATGTTCTCTCTTTCTCTTTTCTTTGTCTTTCAAGTCTTTCTGATATCAGAAAGTATTATTCATGTGACAGTCATAAAATAGACTATGCGCATAAAAGAGAAAAAGCTTCATGATTCAAGTTTAATCAGCAAAGATTCATCAAGCTCTACGTGCGTATGGACTAAAATATATATAATCTATTGACAGGTTCAATTGTGATTAGGGTTGGATCTTGGAAGGTAATAAACAAGAAAAACTGTTTTGCTTCACTTTATAACAAAGTCATTGATGATATATATCTGCACCTGGTGTGCTGGCTTATTACTAACTAGCTCAATTTAGGTTAAAGCCTGCAGCTGCATAATTGAATGGAATAGACTCAGAAAAGAAAGAGAAAGAGAGAGAGAGATAGGTATTTGAGTCTAAACCTTAGTTACCACCATTATTATTATTTAATATGTTAGGAGGAATGAGAATTACTTGCAGTCAGTTTCCTGGTATGATGTATCCATAGCAATTTAGAGTACATTCACTGTCGATGTATTTGACTTCAAAAAATATGTATGTGTGTATGTATGTATATGTGTGTGTAAAAATGCGCGCTCAAGTTTTTTTTTTATCTGCACAGACTGCAGAGTGACATCCTTTTCTTATTCTCTCTTTCTTTCTCTTCGCTCTTTTTTCTGTCTGAAAGGCAGCCTTTTTTTCAATATTTTATTTTACTCCTCAAAACAATTCCAATGGAGCGTTCAGTCACCATTGATTTACCAGTTGAGCAAGTAGCCAAAGTAGTCAAACGCCATCTTGTCTATGCTCCTTCTTCATCGTCCTTTATTCCATTACGTCCTAGGCACCAACAACAGAAACAACATCGAAATAAACATAAAAAGCAGCAACCTCAACAAAATCAAATCCCCGTGTATAATTCACATCATCTCTTACCTGGTGGTTCTATCCTGGACGAAATATACAAATGGACCGCTCAGGTAGAGAGTAGGCAACAGAAACGAAATAGGACGCAATCGATATCCCTGCCTGCAACACGTGAACCTCTTGTTGACGTCTCGCTTCAGTCATTGAAGCAACCAGGAGGCTTTCGACGACATTATGTACTAAGTAAAGCAGCAAAGCAAGGAAAGAGACCTCCTAATTTTGTTACCAGCAGTTTTGTTGAGTTTTTATGTTTATATGGTCATTTTGGTGGAGAAAATCTGAGTGACGAAGACTCGTCTTCATACAATACATCGACAGACGATGATGGTAATAGCAGTGCAAGTGGTGATAGTAGTAATGAAGAAGAGGAGGTGTCTGAGGGCAGCATTATGGCATACCGTGGACCACCTTTGAATAACGCTTCTTATGCTTATGGAGGAACTGATAATAGTAGTAAAAAAGGAACATTACCATTACCAGCGACGTCAAGTAGAAAACAAGGTGTTGTTCCATTACAATATAAACAACTACAGGCAAGAGAGTCGATGCCTCTTTTATCACGATCGAGACCTGGACAAACCCTTCAGGGTAAGGCAACACCAGGTAAAGCCATGTTCTTGTTGTTAAAGTCCTTTGTTACCACTGGCATCATGTTCTTACCCAAAGCGTAATGATATGTCATCTTTATTCTTTTACTTGAAGCTAACACATTCTATAGATTTTATAACGGTGGCTTACTTTTCTCAACTGTTGCTATCATCGCTTGGGCCCTAATATCATTATGGTCATTTTTGCTCCTTGTACAAACCCGTTTAGCTGTACCTGCTAGTTTTGGAGATATGGGTGGGGTACTCTACGGATCACGCATGAGAATTGCTGTATTAGTCGCCATTACGCTATCCCAAATTGGATTTGTATGTGCTTATATGATTTTTGTTGCAGAAAACCTTCAATCGCTCGTTTTGACATTCTCAAAATGTCGTGTGTTAATTCCCATGCATCTGCTTATTTTAGCCCAAAGCTTCGCGTTTATACCTTTAGCTATGATTCGAAAGATCCAAAGGTTGTCTATCTTTGCTCTCATCGCAGATATATTCATTGTCATTGGATTAAGCTATTTATTCTACTATGATGTAAAAGAACTTGTGACTATTGGCATGGTTCATGTAGACATGTGGAATCCTCTCCATTTTCCTCTGTTTATCGGCACAGCCGCATTCACTTTTGAAGGCATTGGCTTAGGTAAGCTATTGATCATTTACCACTCGCCTATTGTATTCATGATTTGCAGTTATACCCATCACAGAATCCATGAAAAACCCTAAAGAATTTCCTAATGTATTAACAAAGGCCATCATCACGATTACGGCTCTGTTTATCACCATTGGAGCACTTTCTTATATGGCATTTGGTGAAAATGTCCAGACGATCATTTTGCTCAATTTACCAAGCAATGATCCAATGGTATCATCCATTCAAACACTTTATTCCTTGGCCATCTGCCTTTCCATTCCCTTACAACTATTTCCTGCCATCCGAATCATGGAAAATGGATTATTTACGACAAAGTCAGGAAAAAATAATACAGTTGTCAAGTGGCAAAAGAATGTATTTCGAGTCTTTGTCGTCTTTGTCTGTGCTGCTATAGGCATCATTGGTTCAAGAGACAAGTTGGATAAATTCGTCTCACTCGTAGGCGCTCTCTTCTGTATCCCACTCTGCTTCATTTTTCCTCCCTTATTTCATTTGAAGGCATTGGAATTGCCTGTGACAAGACGATTGGCTAATTTTGCCTTGATCATATTCGGTGTCATTTGGTAAGTGTGTCATGACCTGTCAATCAATTGAATCTTGACCCCCCTCCCCCTTTTCTTTTATTTGATAGCATGATATTCGTCATTTTGTCAACCTTAGGTCAATGGAACTCTGCTGAGCCAACTGATCCAATCAAACAGTGTATAGCTCATAGAACCTAATATATACCAGAAATGCAAATATCCGTTGTATTATAATAATTGACATGTACTATTCCTTTTATTTCAATAAATCATTCATTTTTATTATTATTTTTATTACTATGCATAGTTTGAGAGATGAAAATAAGGTTTTTTTTTGGAAATTGTCATGGTTACGCGGTAAGCTGCTTACAAATTCAAGTGACTTGATTGATAACACCATTTTAAGCTTGCATTATTTTTTTTTTTTCTTTCTTATTGATGTTATTACGTTCAATAACTCCCACATTCTTCTTTAATACTTGTTCAACTCGTTCTTTATTGATCCTTCGTAACATGTCTAGTATTCCATCCACTATGAAAAGTGTCTTTTTCAAAGAACACGGAGGTGTTGAAAAATTAATTTATGATGATGTTCCTGTACCTAAAATCAGTGAAGACTCGATACTTGTAAAGAACCACTTTGCTGGTAAGTCTTAAATCAATATATTTATTATTATTGCTGATGTATGGTCAAGGTGTCAATTTCATCGACACTTATCAAAGATCCGGACTTTACCAAGTTCCTTTACCCCACATACTTGGAAAAGAAGGGTAAGATAAAGCTACAAATCGTGACAATCGAATACATAACCATTTCCCCTTGACATCAGTGCTGGAGAAGTAGTTCAAGTAGGAAGTGGTGTGAAAGAGTACAAAGTAGGTGACCGTGTTGTGTACCTTGGCGGTTCTACATATGCAGAATACACCAATGTCTCTACTGCCTTGGCTCAAAAACTCACTGACGACGTGACTTTTGAAGAAGCAGCAGCTGTTAGTCTTCAAGGATTGACTGCTTGGACCTTGGTACGTGCAGCATATCAAGTACAGAAGGGTGACATTGTCCTTGTTCACGCTGCAGCAGGGGGTGTTGGCCTTTTGTTGTGTCAGATGCTTCGTCACTTAGGTGCGACTGTGATTGGTACAGTAAGTACAGAAGAGAAGGCAAAGCTTGCCCGTGCGAATGGAGCAAATCATATTGTTATCTACACCAAAGAAGATGTTGTAGAGCGTGTGAATGCTCTTACAGATGGTCAAGGATGTCATGCTGTGTTTGATAGTGTAGGAAAGGATACATGGGAAGCCTCATTGGCAGTTACGCGTCGTTTGGGTTCATTGATCTCTTTTGGTAATGCATCTGGACCAGTTCCTCCTGTAAGTCGAACCTAGAAAAAGAAAATAGTGGGAACTCATCTGTATATCTCCCCCATTAGATTTCGGTTCTTTGCTTAACACCAAAGAATTTAAGATTGATGCGACCTCAACTATTCCCATTTCTTGCAACCAAGGAAGAAGCCAACAGATGGTGGGGCGAATTGATGGATTTGTTAAGCAAGAAGATCATAAAAGTACATGTCCATAAGCATTACGATCTTAAAGATGCTCATCAAGCACATACTGATATCCAAAGTCGAAAGACAACAGGAAAACTTTTGTTAAAGATTTAAAAGCTTTGTATATCTAGCGTACGTTTATACAATCGATCAATAAAGATAAGAGGTCTGTATCTATTCTGAATCTCTTGTAATTCTTAAGAGAATTGAATAAGGACTAAGATTATCTAGCTGTTCTTATTACGCGTTTTTGCAAGAAAAGACTATAATTCATTATCTTTACTAATTCTTTTAAATTTACAAAAACGTCTTTTTCAGTTCAACATACAGAAACACACAACAACTGCATGTAAATTCCAGTCGACAAAACTTCCACAACACCCATTACATAAAGTAATTGTTTGTCGTTCCTAATGCGATGGATGCTCTCAGAGCCACGCTTTATTGGCATATAAAATCATAAAAATTTTGTCTTTTTTTTCCCCTCGTATCTTTTAAAGCCGCGCACCGCAGGTCTACTGTATGGGTAACATCAACCAAAATGAGCAGCAAGTTTTTACCAGAGCATAAGTCGAGAACATAATTAGAGAAATTGAATGAGCAAAGGTTCAAGAACAAAAGAAGAGTTGGCCGAAAAGACATAAATGGTAATAAAGCATTTAAAGTCCTTAGGTTTCATAATCAACGAAGAAAAAATTAAGCCAACACTATATGTACCAGAAAATAGATTAATGCTACGAGTACTTCTTCTAGGCACTACATGTAAGGCAGCGAAATATCCTTTGATATAAAATACGATGTCATTATTATTACACATGATTGTTCTTGGTTCTTTGTTGAAAGAAATGACAGCGTAAGCAATAGTAGCATTTTTTTATCTCTTCTTTCTTCTTGAAAAGAAACACTAATCAAAATGGTGAAAAATTTTTTGGAGAGTATCATAAATAGTGAGTAAAGGTAGCGCACGTAGCATTAGTCTAACTTCTGTTGCATATTCTGAAAACGTATTTGCAATATTAGAAAGATCGTGAAGAATAGCTTATGATTTTAAAATGAAAAAAAGAATACGAGATTTAGAAAAGGTCGTTCAAGAGTACATATTCCAACGGGTAAAAGCCTTCTTCAGTGTAAAGATTTTACATATTACAAACAGTTATACAGTCAGACTTATGAAGGGTCGGTTGGAAGCTGAAGAGATTGAAAGCATCAACCAAAAAACCTAAATTGTGACCTGGACAGCAAACGAAAATAAAGAATCTTTTCTTTTATCAATTAAAGACTGTCTAGATTCATACCGTTCACTAAGGGTTGTCAGCCGTACATCCTGTACTCCGCCACCTTGCATTATAACATATTGACCATGGAATCTATACTAGCACTCTTGAACTAGTTTTTTCTTTTATTATTTTAACTTAAATATCTTGGAATTTGGTGGCCCATTGATTACAAAAGAATACTACGAGCGTATCTGCGCCATTTCAGTTGTTGTCCCAAACCTTCGTGCATTATTTATGAAGCATACCGAATTGTCAACGAAATGGTTCGAGATACAATGTGGTTCACTGTGTAACAATAAAAATATTCCTTTTCTTACCCTAGTTTTTCTTTTCGTCCTGGTAGTTATCTAAATACCTTTGAGTTTCTTACTAAGGACATATAAAATCACCAGCGACCATGAATCGATTAGCTTTGATTGGAATTCAATCCCAATGGCTTCAGCCAATTACTTGCTGCTCGCTTTTATAAACAGATAGTCCGAGCTCAATTAGCATACGGTCTCGCTATTAATAAGGTTAGCTTTCTTTTTGCTTGTAAAAATAGGAAACATTTAAAATACGTACTTATACAGAATATCTGATGGTTCGTGCAGATCCTCTATAAGAGTAATGTTACAGCTGACGAAGCTGTCAACTATGATAGAGTGTACTCATATACTACAAGCAGAATTCCTTTTACGATCTCTGTCACTGCTGGATGACGCTCAACTGACTCGCCTATTACCACATATACGTTTTTTGGCAAGTCATTCACAGTGGTATACTATATCAAGAACACCGCCGTGGAGACGATGTGCACAATAATTGACACCCTAGACAAACGACTACTTAAGGTGATACGCCTAGAATTTCTGCAGAATAGCCTAGAGCAACGGTGTACTGCACACAACTCAAATTTGCTCCCGCTGTGTCGCCCAATAAATTCTTTGATTTCCTATGTCAAGAATAGAAAGAAACCGATGCGTATGCTGGCGTCTTGACTAGTTGCCCGGTTATAAAGCTACTCATTGCCCTTGACGTCCTTCACAGCTCTTTACAAAACAACATACCATCTACTGTCTAGATATGCATCACCGCCTGCAAATACCGAGGATCTTAGCTGATCCTTTGTCTTTCCTTTTAAATAAGTCTTCCACCTGTAAACCGCGCTCCTCTCAAACCAGATCATTTCGGATCATCAGATGATCCATAATATACGCTATTTTGCGTAAGCATGATTACCTATATCATAAAAAAGAGCCATCACTGCCATTGAATATCAGGCAGGATCTACTTAAATGGCTATCTTGATCTTCATAACAGTGTTTTTAACACTTGTTCCAAGTCTCTCAGCTAAAGCATGTTTACCTTCGAGCCCAGAGGGGTTTTTTAGATACTCTTTTACGCCTCGAACTAGCCTGGACAATAACAAGTATAATAATAATATCGCGTACCCTTTTGTGGTCTTTGTATTTTATAAATAAATAAACTATTCCACATTTTCATACAAAAAAGAAAATATTGTTTCTTTTATTGGAAATAATCGTAACACCATTAAATAAGACACGTTTTAATATCCACTTTTTGTATAATTCTGTAAAATAAGTCGCACGAGGTTTAAAAAATAGACAATTCTATTTTTTGTAGATACATGCCAAAAACTTGTGGACGAAACGAATTATTGTTCAAAGGCTTATCTGTATCATGTATTAATGCAGCGGTAACTTCAAAGGATTGATTATTTTCTTGGTTGGTCTACTACTAGCTGAAGAGGTCGCCTTTCTTTTGAAGCCAGTAGAGGGAGATGCGTTGAGTCTGCAAAAGCGCTCTAGTCTTTTTCCGTTTTTACGCAGCCCAAAAAGAATGTGCCTGAAATTTAAAGTGGCTACCATATCACGGTTCCAAAGACAACAACGAGAAATTGCACCAGTCGTGGTCTCCAAACATTGTTGGATTTTGCACCTAAATATAAGAGTTGGATTTATAAACACAGAAACGAATCACCTTAAAAGACCATGACATGTTACAGTTAGTTGCTTTTCTCTCTGGAAAGATCTTGAATTTTGTACATTTTTGAGCTTTTCAAGTTCACCGTTCAGACATGTAGGACACAAGCTAGATGTTTTAAATTTATCAAGAAGGTATAACTTAAATCCTTGTTTAGCTAGCATCCTTCTTATTCCAGCGTCTCTAATGGGCTCGTGAAACTTGACATTTCCGGCAGACCAGTTGCCAATTATCAGGGTAACATCATCACCGAACTTTGTTATCATATATCTGGTCAGTCGTATATCTGCTTGCTGTCCATTTTAAAGCTGGAAAGCTTCATTTTTCGAAACGGCAATAAGTTTGTTTCTACAACAGGAATATCTTCATTTGCGAAATACTTACTCAAGACTGGTGTTACTGTTGCTCTTTCCTGAAGGTACTTGGCAAACTTGTCTCCATTAACTGTTGAAGATTTGCACTTTAACAAGCTCTCCCGGAGCTTCTTGAATTTTCTTGACTTTGTTTCAATTGCTCTTTGATTGCTTGTGTATCTGTATGTCCTCTTGTTTTCTATGGTGCTTTCTTCATGCATGCAATATAGCACGCCACGCCGACCAGGATCTATCAACACACACTTGCCGACACCAGCCAATGGCTCTTCTTTTTCCAACTTTTCTATATATTTGAAATCTTCTTCATCCACTGCTTTCGTTCTTCTACCAGCACCACTACCGCCTTTCTTCGTATCATCAGCTTATTTCAACACAGACACACCAACACCATCAGTGAACAGCATGCCCCTAAACCTTCATTGTTTTTCTTTCACCCTGTGGCTTCATTGCCTTTGCTGCGACATTGAGAACAGAAGCCCATACTATTTCTTTGTCCAAATGGCTGGAAACAGGGTTTTTCAAAATTTGCGTGTTTAAGATAAGCGTCGATAGTCATATAGGATGGAATGAATGTCCTCCTCAGCGGAAAGCAATTAAACGATTTTCCTTGAAGGATTTCACGCATACTTGATAGTTTGTAAAATGCTTTTAAATGCTTCAAGGTACTTACTTTGCAGTCATAATATATCGAGCCTTTCGCAAACTGATGATTAGGAGGATAAGAGCTAAACATATCATGTATCATGTCGACATCTTGGGAAGGCAGCAGGTCTTTTGGTAAATCGTTTACCTTTCCAGACGAAACATACGTTTTAACTTTGCTGCATTGTTCCACGATCGTCTTCACTATAGCCGACACTTCTTCTTCCGAGCTGCTATTCTTCTTCATTTTGTTTTTTACTGCCTTTATTCGCTCATCCTTTTTCAAGATCATGTTCAAAAGCATGCATAACTTGTCTCCAAAGTGAGGAGACGTCGTTCAGATACGCAATATTTATCTTTATTACTTCATATGAGGCTATTTGTTGAGCATACTTTAAATCCATTGGTTCATAAGAGCAATACTGAAAATACATGTCTCGATGACTGTTGACTTGGATGATATTTTTTGTTTATTTGACTTGTAACTTTGAAGAAGTGATAAAAAGACTTCTCTGTAAAAGTCAATGTTGGCGAAATCCTGCAGGTCAAAGGCAGAGTTATGTTCCAATTCTTGAATGAAGATGTACTTCAAAAAAGAGAACGTGTGGGTTACAAGTGTCTTGAGTGGCGAAATATACTGTGGTTTCCATCCTATACCAATAATGGAGCTTTTAACTGTTATAATCTTTAAAGGCGGTTTCATGAAGAAAAAGAAAAAGCTAAGTTGACAGCTCTACATAGTTGTCAAATTATACTTAAATACGTACGGCATAGGATGCTAAATAGTATAAATGCCCAGCTGATTAATTACAAAAAAGATGATGAGTTGAGATAACTTGTAGAATTTCAAAGACAAAAGTCAGGGATAAACAAGGATTTGTGAATTTAGATATTTGAAAGACAATCAAAAGGAGGGCTCTGCTTATACTTCTGGTGTCTGCTTACTGCTTATATACCATTTTATATTCATTAATTACGCGTAGACTCTACTTTTACCTTTTATGGAAACTTTGTCTTCATTCTATAATAACAATCTGCAAGGTTTTGGCATGTGTCTACAAAAAATAGGTCTGTCTATTTTGTCATTCACTCGTCTCAAATCTTTTTAGCGGGCGTTTCATCTAACTTATTTTTTTGAACCGTCTCATTTTAGCTTAAAAAACTGTATAAAAGGACAGGGTTGATTCTTTCGCGGGCTTTTATAAAGTTGTAGTACAAAATTAAATCAATGAAAAAGAAGATGCGGAATAAACTAAAAATACATAAAATAGGTTAATTTGCTTTGTGTAGCATCTATTTTCTGCCTCAAATACTCTTTTATACCCTCTTTCTTTCCTTTTTCTTCCCCTTTACCTTTTTTTTGAATCATGAATACTAGATCATTTTTTATTATTGCAGCGCTATGTTTAGTATTCATTCAGACAGTACTGGCAGACATTTACTCTCAACTTCAATTCATTAAGATCGTTTCACCAAAGAATGGTCAAGATATCGAAGCTGGTAAACCCCTTGTCGTCAAATACGTTATGCAACCACTTATTGTAAACCATGTTGCTGCTGGAAGAGCATTAAAGCTCAACGTCAACTTCCACAAGAGAACAGGAAATGCCAAGGAACAAAAGCTTGCTATCATTCACAAGTCATGGTAAAGCTGTTGTAAAGTAACAAAAGAATCTGATTTTTACTAACCTGATGTTTAGTCCTGTTACAGCTAAAGAAAGCAAGTATGTCACTTACACTAAGAAATGGACAGTTCCCAAGGGCACCAAGCCTGGATCTTATGCTGTTGACTTTGTTGAATTAGTACAACTTCGTCGTGGTCAAATTACTGTCAAGGAAACTGTCAAAGTAAATGTTGTTGAATAAGAGACCTCAATATACTCCAGCCTTCTATTCCCCCCTTTTTTCTCTCTCTTTCTCTTTTGGACAGATCAACACAATACTCTGGGGAGGAACATTAATCTACATTTTCACAACAAGAATAAAATGATGGGTTATTCCTTATCACCCCCCTACCGGTGTACTCTATATTCATTCATTTGTGGACTTTTGAGCCTATGTGTTTATGACAGGCATATCTCAGACTCCTCTTATTGTCCTCAGATGGCAACACTAAAACTTGTAACACTAATGAATATTTTTAGAAATAGGAATGATGAAAGTAGAAGCAATATGCTCTCATTCAGTACATTATATTAGGATATAAATTAAACAGAGAAAGAGAAAGAGAGCAACAGCCATGATATATGTGTACTTTTTATGGCAATCAAGAAGACGCTTGCTTTCTTCAGAGGGTGTTTCTTGGCAATATGTTTATTTATACACAATATACTAATAATACCACTATTACTGAGACACAAACAGGTGTAATTAGTAAAACAGTCAATGAGATGAAATAGTTCCTTTTTTTCACTTACAAAATATCAAATATTCAAAGAATTAACTATTTGTTATTGTTAAGCAATCAGTATAAGTTAATAAATTATCAAAGAAGACTTACCTTTCAAAAAGTATTACTGTCATCGACAGAAGGCCAATCTTTGTTTGCAGTAAAGAAAGAAGCGGCATTCATTTTAAGTTTATCAGTGTTGGATTGACTGACTTTTGGGTTAAATTGAGGAAAGATTGCATCAAAAAGAGATGAAGCTAAACCAGACAGGCCTATTGCCATTGCAGATATGGTGCCCCGTCTTTTCACTGCCTTTTTTGCTTTGACAGAGACACAGCTTGGGTTGTCACAGACAAATGCGCATTAATTGTTCTTAATCGACTTACTGTTGTATTTAGTTTTGTAATAGAGTCAGACAAAGTAGAAGTACGATGAGACTGCGTATCTTTATTCGGAATAAAAGAGATCGATATTTGTATATTAACAAGCTGCGGTATTTAAACTGCGTTAACCACATTTGATCAAGGTGTAACAGATCTTATAGTAAAAATACCTTTAGCAAGCCTGTTTCTCTCCATTTCGGGTTTTCGCTGGTTTGTTCCCTCCTAAGTTTTTGACCTCTAGCTTTTTTATTACTGACGAGGCAACCAGCTTCCTACGATTGCGAGTGAGAGGTAAATACTCTGTTAAGCCTGCCCTGTATCAGCGATTGTACAAAGATACACTGCAACACAGAACAATACGATTTCAACCGTTCCTTTTGGGCTTTATTTTGCAAGATGTACTAATTACTACAGGCGATCAAGCAACTGACGCTCTTGCACAGCAATTGCAACACTAGCCATTGTGGCAATAATTATCAAATTTAGGCCATCTCCTTCTAGATCAAGATTCACAATGGAACCATTTTAGCGGAAGAGTTTGGACAACATTTTATTCAGGCCTCAGCTATGAAAATTAGGCCGATTCTCAAAAGCTTCACTTAGGCCAGTTGAAGAGCAAGTTTTACTGTTCAATCAAGCTATTACAATAAAGGATGAGCCAAGAAAACTTTTGTTTGATTGATATGGGCCTTTTATAGTAACACACATTATTTCAAGGACAACTTGTAACCTCAAACACCAAGACAAAAGTAAATCGATGCTCAATGTACACATTTCAAGACCCAACAAATTCAACACAATTGAAGAAACGCCGTTCAACTAAGTGTCTGCCATTCATTTATCATTTATTAGTATACGCCTCAATCTCCATAAGGGGATGTTAACCTAAATAATCTTTTTCTCCAAAAACATTGGCTACTCACCTCCTTTAACTTTACAACCTCTGCTTCTTAATATATAAATGTTGTTTATGCTATCATCTCCTTTTTCTCTTTACTTTATTCCGAATAAAGATACACACAGTCTCGTCGTACTTTTACCTTGTCCGATTCTATAACAACAGAGATTAACAAGCGCTGCAGAAAGGTCACAAACGAGGAGACCCAGTTCATTAACGATGTTGCATATGTAATAGTTTCATGTATTTTGTGTAATTCACTGTAGAAAACACACACACATATTTCTCTTTTTGAAGAGCAAGGCTGCTGGATCAAACTTGTAAGCAAAACATCTGGCAATTCGACAATTGACAAATGCTGAACTCGAAACTCACGCGACAGCCATTTATGATTTGTAAGTGAAAGAAACGTAACTGATTAATATGCTTATTACAAGAGTGAATGAATTATATTTCAAAAAGAGGCTTCAGGGCATGTACAGAGCATGCTTATTAAAGTTCAAGGGCCCGTGAACTATAAATATACTGTATTTCCGCCGTCAATTGGTCACTTTTCTGAAGATCATTTGGTCACTTTTCAGAACTTCAATTGGTCACTTACAATGCCTCCAGTGTCAATTGACGCTTTTTAAGATTAGCTCGCGCTTTTGAACACCCCAATTAGCGTTTTTCTTAGAATCCAATTTGCACATTTCACTGGCCCAATTTGCGCTTTTGACTAAGCCAAATCGCATTTGCTGTAGATTATTTTCTTTTCACCAAAGCCTGAAAATTCAAGAGTCGTACTGCTGCATTATTCAATAAACCTCAATAACACTATAAATGAAATCAGTTTAAAAGCCTTTATATAGAAATGAATGACTTGGTTATGCTTTGTTTCATAGGGTATACATGACATTGGACTACAGGAGAAAAAAATATGAGGGGGAGGAGAGGGGGAGCGAGAAACCTTACGCCAAAGAGAACGAGGGGATTTTTTGTTTGCGACGTTTGGGATTGATTGCATCAATTGGTAGAGCAGCGTCTTCTTCCTCAAGTGCTCTTGAAATTTTGTACCGAGTCTCTATTTGATGCTCATACAAAAGGGATAATCGCTTGAAGTCGTCTACCTTTTGTAGAAGGCACCCAATTTGGCCAATTTCTTTAGGTACATCGACGGACAAGATCTCAGCCAATTGCGTGATTTCTTCTGTGAATGCTGAGACCAAGTAGAACACCATGTGATAACCAATGCATTGCACCACAATCACCTTACGATTATTTTTTCTTAACATCAAACGGCGAGAAAATGTGCCTAAACGAACCAAGTCCATGAATGCCAACTCGGGACTGGATTCGAAATCTGGCGGTTTCACCTCTACGTATCCCAAAGTAACAGTATCTGTTTTTTGCTGGATCGCAACAGTGGCCGCATCTGGTCGGAATATTGCTGTATTTTCATCTTTACGATTTAACCACATGAGATGCTTGTTGTTGTCAGGGCAATGAAATATAGGCGAAAGAATTGGGTCCAAAAAATTAACCGTCAGCTCCATTTCTCCTACAGGAGAAAGTCGTTCAAAGTTGGGCAGTTTGGTAACCAAATTAGCGAATATCTCGATGGTATTTCGATCCTCTTTGGAGGCAACTTCAAATAGTCGGTTGATTTCTATCTTCAACTTTGTTCAGTCGGTTGTATTGTTGACATCTCGAAACAAGGTGCATAGTGACAAGTACATCTTGCTGTCAACTGTGACATCTTTGGTCATTGCTTTCGCTTTGATATTATTCAGGGATATTCGGTATCAACATGCTCGGCGAGTTCTGGACACACCTGTCCTTCCTTGAGTAATATTATGTTTTGACTTGCTAACACTTTGTGAACTTGGGTTTGTAAATTGAATCCGTGCTTTCTTGATTTGTCTTTACACGATTTGATATATGAATTCAATTTTTTTCAATCGATGAAGCGGCAGCAGTAGATGAGGAAGCATCAGCAGTAGATGAGGATGAGAAGGAAGACGCACCAGACACAATCTATAACAGATTTTTTCATTTTATCAGTACATCTATCGATATCAGTTTTTGAACAAGCTATTTTTTTAATACTATACTTTTGGTGATCGTTTCAGTCTCAAGATTAATCTCTCTGAGGCAGCATTCGTAGCTTCGTCCAAGACTTTGCTTCCATTCACCACTGCGTTCGTTTGAGATTTTGACTGTTGAAAAATTCTCTTCATATCTACTTTGGCCTTGCTTTTGTATGATTTTTTTATGATATCCTTGTACACTTGCTTGAACTTTGAAATGAAAGACTTCGATGCATCGTCATATTCAACAAATGTCTCAAACCAAACAATCAGCACCTCTATGTGGTTTTCATCGTTATTGATGAGGCCTTGTATAGTTGAACTTGCCTTTTTAGTTTTGATGTAATTTTCTAATGCTACAAAAAACACTTGTAATTAGATTTGTCGCTTCCGCCAACATGCAGTATGCTTACCTTGGACTAAATCTGACATTGTGGAGGGAAAGATGCAAGAGGTAAAGCAAGTAAATTGACCGAGAACAATTATTTATGGTGATATAAGTAAATCAATTCTGCATCGACGCGATTTTTTTTTGTAGGGACGTTTTTAGCCAAGAAAATTAACAAATATAAAAAAATTAATGCTTGAAGGATTCCAGGCAACCAATGATAGCCCGGAAAACCTTGGATGGGATAAAAGGATGTCCATTGAAAATAAATATTCAGCGCGCACGCCAGATGCACCAAAAGGCGCAACTGACAATACTTTCATTAGAGAAAGCAGGAAGTTTTTGAGGAGAAAAACGTAAATGAAATAATGCTTGTTCCATAGCATTTACTGTTAAAATCAATTCACCAAAGAAATGATGCCAAACTCGAGCTCACACTTCGAATTTTTTTGGGGCATAACAGAATAAAATGCATTTCATCTTCTACATTTGGAATTTGACAAAATCGGCATCCCGAAGAGAAAGAAGACGCTAGCAATTTATGCATTCTGGACGCACAAGGAAACTTGTGTTGTAACAAACGATACCAGGGAGCCCGAATTTGCAATGGGATCGACAAATTCCAAAATCGACGCCAAGAAGACATTGATAGAGGCATATTGGGAACTTGGCATCCACCGGATTGTTGTAAAAGCTGCTGGTGATGCTTGCGAAAATTACGAGGCAGAATAGTATCAGTGTTTGACTTGATCAAGGATGGACCAATTGACCACAGACTTCAGAGAGAGACGATGGAACACTGTCCGGTAAACAAAGGCGGGCGAAAAAGGATGTAAAGTAAGCTGTCCGGCTAAAAGAAGGCGAACCAACTTTCACCACAAATAATTATTGTAATAACGGTCACGCAATAGTGGAGTTTTTTTTTTTATTTTTCCTTTACCTGGTAAATTATTTTTTCCAGGCGAGTAACAGACACTTTCTATCATTCCAGCGCAATAATGAAGAAGTCCACTCACATTTGCCTTGCTGCTATGGGTTTGGTACTGTCCAGTTTCTGGATAGGTCCTCAGCGATTATTTGCTTTTCAATACGTTGACTAGTGATTCTCGCGTCTCTTATTGCTTTTAGAGATTGCCAAAAATGATCATGGTAGGTTCACAGGCTGTCTCTTTTCCAACCAAACTATTTTTTTTCTCTTTTTATATAAGTCTGATGAGAACGCGAACATAGCGATGCAATACTGAAGGAATCCTCTCATGCCTGTCATGTTGCTCTGTAAGAGATGCCGTTCAGTTAATCTGGATGGGTCTTTAGTGATGCTTGTCTTTTGATTCTTTGAAAGACGACTGCTGCGTTCACTGTTGCTTTGGAGTTTGGTAAAACTGATTATATGAATAAAAAGTGTCAAAAGATCAGTAAGAGAATGTACTACTGCCAAGTTGGGAAAGCATATCATGAACAACTTCCTCAAAGTATCTCCTTTGTAAAATTATCATACATAAAGCTGTAAATCTCTTTGATCTGATCATGTATTATGTTTACTTCGAAGAAGGAAATTAGGTATTTTTTGAGAGAGGAGGCTTTACATAGTGGAGGTAACGTATACCCTATGCTATTTGAGTCGGTTACTGGCGCTTGTACAGATGTGTTTATCTACAAATGAATTCTTCTAATTCGAGTTCATATACAAAGTGCATGTAATAGTAAGTTGCGTCATTTTCCGCATCCCGCAGCACAAGGGCTCCCGCTCTTTTAGACATGAGTTGCCATTCTGTGAACATGTTGGACAAATGTCTTCGAATGGAACCCATTTAATACATTTTGTTTGCATCTCTTGAATAACAATATCCTATGCAAAAGAAAGTTGAATGTATCTATTAAATACGCTATTTGGGATCGCCAAAAGAGCTAATTGAGCTTTTAAAAAGCGTGATTTGGTTTGGTCAAAAGCGCAAATTGGATTCTAAGAAAAGCGCTAATTGGGATGTTCAAAAGCGCGAGCTAATCTTAAAAAGCGTCAATTGACACTGGAGGCACTGTAAGTGACCAATTGAAGTTATGAAAAGTGACCAATTGACGGCGGAAATACAGTATAATATGATAAATGATAAATTATGTATCATGATGTTTGTTACTATTGTTGGATAAAATGTCATCAGGGTATAATCTAGCAGAGTGTAACGTCTTACATCCAGTTGCGGAATTCTTTTTACGATTCACCCGGAGCGTCCGAAAAAACAAGCTGTTTTGGCATAAATTTAGTCCTTTTTTTCTACATGAGTAGAATACTTAATTACGGCTCTGTCAACATTGACGAGTTCTTTTCAGTGCCTCATATCTGCCAGCCAGGAGAAACACTATCTTCAACCGAGTACATTGTTCGAGCAGGAGGAAAAGGTATATGTCATTATTCTCATCCAGTTGACATTATGTATTTACCTTGCTCGACTTAGGAGCTAATCAATCGATTGCCTGTGCAAAAGTAAGCGCATACACACACACATATATGTGCGTGTACATGCAAAGGGGGCTTATTAAACACCCTGTTTCTTTTTCTTAGGCTGGTGCTCGCGTTTATCACGCCGGAAAGTTTGGTCACGATGCTGCCTGGGTAAGATTAGAAACATAAACATTATACATATACACGCGCTGACAGACTAGTGTAAAAACCAGGTGAGAGACTACATGCAGAAAAATGGCATAGATGTGACTTTTGCAGAGCTAAAAGAAAATGAGGTAACAGGCATGAAATGGCCAGCTTCTTTGTTGCCAACACTAAGATACACAATCAGAGAAACGGCCGTGCATTCATTCAAGTGAGTGCTGACACAGGTGATAATTGTATCGTACTTTATCCAGGCACAAACGCTACCTATACAGCTGAGGAAGCGGAAAAAGTGATAGATCATTTCGGACCGCAGGATTGGATAGTGATGCAAAATGAGATTAGTGAAGGAGGAGAAATTATGAAACGAGCAGCAAACAGGGGATTGTCTATTCTTTTCAACCCTGCGCCCATGACAAAGGGTATCCTCGATGTCTTTCCATTCGAGGATATTTCCATTTTGGTTGTTAATGAACATGAAGCGAGATCATTATATGAAGAACTTGGTGGAAAGGAAAAGGTCGTTGGCTTAGATCTTGCTGAAAGATTGCTATCAGAGTTTAAGGTGATGCAAGGAGTTATTATCACGCTAGGTGGGGAAGGTGTAGTTGCAAAGTTTAGAAAGGATAAAGAAGAAAGAGGTTTCAAGGTCACTGGTCGTAAAGTGAATGTCAAGGATACAACAGGGGCAGGAGACACATTTGTGGTAAGTATGATAGTATGAGCTTATGATTTTAGTATATTGACTCTGTATATAGGGGTTTTTTCTTGCAGCGTTCATAAAATATGAAAAAGAAGTGTACTTTGATAGAGTTCAAAAGGCCCTGAAAGAAGCTAATGTTGCATCTTCTTTAGCTGTGCAAAAGGAGGGGTCTATGGCATCTGTACCTACTCTAAAAGAGGTCTTGGAATGCATGGAGTCTCAATAAAAATGTCCACATGATCTCAAACTTGATCTTTCAGTAGGCTTCAGGTGCGTCAACAACGCAGTGATGAATTTAAGACAAGCCAATTCTCTTTCAAGTTTATATGCTTCGAGACAATTTTAGAAGGTCTAAATCACTTTGACTGCGTTACTGTCAAACTATAGTCATTACAATTTTAGAGATATGAATTCAAAATTAATATGCCCATCGACGATACAGATGTTCTTTGCATATAGTTGAAAATTCCTTAAGCTTAAAAAGTTATGTATGGGCATTTCCAAATGTTATTTATTGATATAGAAATCTATTTAGCAGCTCAAGCTCTTTTTTAAGAATGAGCAAGTTTTACTCATTGATTAAAAACGAGCTTTGCTATGATATACGATTGTGCACATCCATAATTCACTAATCTTATAGAGTTGTACCTGCAATATCGAGAAGTCTCGCTGCAAATTCTTTCGCATGATGAATTGACATTTGATCAAGCAAAGGCACTATGTTAAACACAAACAGCAAGGAGGTACATACTGTACTCAGCCATGACTTTCCAACAAGATTCTCTTTATTAAAACTACACATTAATCTCTATGCATATACCAGTCGATCGCTAGGGAAAAAGCAGCAAAGCCACCAGCACCGAGTGCCATGGCTTGTGGTCCAGCCTTCGCTGCCAACAGTCCCCCTGTAAAAGCGCCTGCTGCGACGCTGTTGTACAAGTCGTTTTTAGCTCTATACTTTTGAAATACATATAAGACTTGATTTGACCATAAAGAAATTATCGTTTGAACTTACTGATTCAATACAGCATTCTGTTCCTGAGTAGATCATGCCTACTAAGCCAAAATTCTTTGCCATCGACAAAGATCGAGTTCCCATATCTTTGAATGCATGTTTAATTTGTTGTTTAGTTGTTTGTTTAACAAGATCCTCATTCATAACTGGTCCAGCATATTCAAACGATGACATAAATAAACCAAAAGCACCTCCCATAGCAAAGCCTGTTTATATAAAGTTAGGCATGTATGGTTTAGATCTACTTTTTATTATACCTGCTGCTCCTGACATGGCTGTTTTTACCACACAGGACTCCATTGCAGCTTGCATCATTCTTATCGTCTGCTGTTCTTGTAGACTTAGATTACTATTTTGACCTCCCAATTGGCTGTTCATGGTATAATATAAATAGACGGGTTAAAGGAACCAGCCATTGCTGCTGCTGTCATTGAAGCCTTTCAAGTCGGCTATTGAAATATTTCCTTTTTTTTTTTGCCTGTCCAAAAGCTTTACTTCTTTTTCTCCATCAGCCACAGTGATAGAATATATAGATGGCAACCGAGATTGAAGAAATAAACAACGTAATGTATGCCTTTTTTGTGTCTCTCAATAGAAATTTAAGCTGCTAACAGGGAGAAACAACAATAGACAGTGAGTCCATATTTTTCAGTGTTGGAAGATACTAGTGCAAAAGACAGACCTGCGAAACGACGTGCTATAGATGGGATCAAGAAGAGCTATTCACAGGTCAAGAGCCCTTCTGTTGCCAATGGATTAATCGAGAATACGACTTATTCCTTATTGATTTGTGTAAAAAGTGAAATTGAATCTGTTCGCGAGACTTCAGTTCATATTCTAAAAAGGTATGTGTTGCTATGAATATTTGCTTGTTTAAACCGTGGTTAATATATCAAGTGATGCAGCCTGATTGCTATCAATGATAAAGAGCCAATACAGGAGACAACACTTGTGACAATACTAAAGGCAGCAGACAAACGCCTTGATCAATCCATTGAGCACACAGAGGAAATTCGTGTTGTTTGGATGGAACTAGTGATCATGTTGTTAGAGTTACAATCTTCAAATATAAAAGCTGCGCATTTTATGGATATCTTGCAAACGGCAGTAAAAGACCCATTTTCTGAGGTGCAAAAGCTTGCTTCAAACTTACTCTGTCTGTTTACAATTAAATATCCAAAAATGGTGGACTATGCCTGCAACCGTATGATTGAATATGTAATACTGCTTTTGCTTCATAAGCATACGACCATTCGCTCATCTGGAATTAAAGCAATGGAAGCTGTTCTATTGACTTGTGCTAAAGGATTTCACTTGCTATTTGAATATAATGAAGATCTGGATAAACAGCCTATTATACCCTCCTTGATCTATGATCCATCAGCACTTGTACGCCAGCAATTATTTACAACCTTGGGTAATCTGCTGTGTGAATGGAGTCCAAGAGATAGATATGAACATGGTGACAAGATATTACCAGTTATTTTGTCTGGTGCATTTGATGAATTGCCTGCAGTGGAATCAGCCTGTCAATCCGCATTAACAAGGGTAGCAGATATATGCGTTCATGATCTGCATGACGCAGAAATTTTGAAAGAAATACCAATAGATGCATCAGTGAGGAAAACTATTGGTAAGTTTATAAAAGTAAAAGATGACAATTAAAACGTATTACTATAGGATTAAAGCACTTGGTTCATATCTGTTATGATGGTAGTTTGAACTATTTATTAGACAAAAGCACAGACTTTGTAGTTTCGAGGCAAATAACTAATTTGAGCGCATTGAAATTGTTCTTGGAATATGCCTCTGCTGATGATCTTGTGAGGACGTTTGATAAATTAATGAATTGCCTTGTACTTGTGTTTAGCAGTAGTCATGCAGCTGATTCAGACGTGTTTGAGATCTTGTCTATAATATCCAACCAGCTGCACGTAATTGACATCTATCTGGATATCTTGCTTCCCAAACTAGATCCTTGGTATTTAAACGAGGAAATAAGTAACTTTCCTGCAGAAGTGGTCATAACCACCGTCATCACTTTCTTGGAATATCTCATCACAGTAACTGAAGTTAGCGCCCATTCAACCGATCGAATCAAGAAAGCATTACAGCGTCCTCATTTTGAAAATTACAAGAATCGCTTGAGTAGCAAGACAAAGCAGAGTATAGCCGCCTTAAATGAAAACGTGGTTTTGTAAATAAAGTAAAATTAAGCCAACTCGAGATATATCCAATATTAAACTTGGTGATATCCTATTTAATAAAATCTGATCCGATCAGAATATAGACTAGTTTCTACCCCAGGTCGTAAAGCAATAGAGTAGTTAGCTGATGTTGAGAGCGGAGTGTTATTGATGATGATATCCTGTATTTAGTATACGTATTTACAATTCATTACATTTGCATACAACACCGTAAAGCATGCTTTCATTGGTTTTTCTCCTTTCCATACTATGTTTAGTCGGCAACCGGTGCTCCTAAATGAAGTAGGCCTTATTATTCCCGAATTCAAAATGTGCGAAACTGAAACTTGGATGAATTATCTTAACAAGTATATCCTTTTGCCACATGGAAAAGCTCTCAAGAATATCAAGGCTGCTCAAGATTATAAGAAATGTTCTGTGATAAAGGTCGAAGACTCAAGTACGATTATAAGGCTGGCGGTTTAATTCTACGCGAGGATTTAAGGAAGGCTCCCTTTCCAAAAGGACTCTGATCTGGTTCGTATGTCATTATTAGTAAGAATAACGAAGGTACTTCTTGGAAGATTAGTAAGTAAGGCGACTCTCGCTCCCATATTACCAAAGCAAATATTCGAAACAAGCGACCTTATTATCAACATCAAGGCTCAAGCGACTCTGGTGCAAGACCTACACCTGTTTCCTCTTTTGAGGGGGAACAATGTAGTGTAACATATTCAAGCACAGATGGATCAAGATAATCATCTTATTATCTATACTTACAACAAGTATAAATGTCCCATAAGCGTACTAAATAAACCATATTCAATTACCTCACATTACCATAATCCAACATGATTATTATTAGCTGATAATAATTATTCGATTCCTGTATCTGAGTCTCTTCCTATTTTATTCGTAAGCTTCAGCTATTACAGGGCCTTCGTATCTTTTGTGAATTCTTTGGGATTTTCTTATATCTTTCTCACAAATGAAGGATTACTTTTATTAAATTATGATTTCTTATAGCATAATAGATTGGCCTAGCGCCACTAATGGCCAGCAGCCTCCCACAGTTATTTCTTATTTAGTTTCTTTTGGGTGAGGAGCTGTAGTGTGTGGTAGGGCGGCTTTTTAAACACAATCCTCAGATCCACCTCTTGAATTGTGTGACTTTGATAGATTCTTTGTTATACTGACAACAGTTTTATTTTATTGTTAGTTAAATAATAATAATAATAAATGTATATAAATACTCGTACTTTTTCTAGTTTTTGTATATTTTTTTAATGTGTGAACCCACAAAGGAAAAAGCAGAGGAGCATGAAGGTTATTTTATAATAAAAAAGAAAAAAGGTCCAGGCTTGTGTAACTGTTGTTCTTCTAAGTCACACATTTCTCTCTCCACACAATCAGTATCCGGAGTTTAGATTTTTTATAGCTTGCTACATCTGCCTAGTTTTTTTCATTCCCCTTGCTTTATCATAAAGGCATCATCTATATATTATAATAATAGTAATAATATCATGACCACTTCCATCACCATTCCCTCTGCATGCGACTTTCATATTCACCTTCGTCAAGGCGATATGATGCGTATGGTCACTCCTAAAGTAGAAGAAGGTGGTGTTTCACTTGCATATGTCATGGTAAAGACACACAACTGAAGCTAACCGAGAAATAGTCAGAGCTGATAATCTACTTTGTATAAATAGCCTAATTTACAACCACCCATCAAAACAACAGATCAGGCACTTGCTTATAAGGCTGAACTAGAAGCACTTGCACCCAACGTTACATTCTACATGACATTATACCTGTCACCTGAATTGACAGTTGAAGAGGTTCGAAAGGCTGCCAAGGCAGGAATCGCAGGTGTAAAATCTTACCCTCGTGGTGTGACTACAAATAGTGAAAATGGCATTGAATCCTATGAGTTATATTACCCTGTTTTCAAGGCAATGGAAGAGGAAGGACTCGTTCTTAACCTGCATGGCGAAATTCCCAGTGATACTGCAAAGGATATTTGTGTGATGAACGCGGAAGAAAGATTCTTGCCAGAGCTTGAAAAGATTCACAAAGCCTTTCCTAAATTAAAGATCGTTTTGGAACATGCTACGTCCAAGGCTGCCGTTGAAATGGTCAAAAGATTGGGTGATACCGTCGCTTGTTCCATCACCGTTCACCACTTGCAGTTGATTGTTGATGATTGGGCAGGTCAGGCTCATCATTTCTGTAAGCCTGTTGCCAAGTACCCTCATGATAGAGATGCATTGAGAGACGTCGTCAAATCAGGTCATCCTCGTTTCTTCCTTGGTACAGACTCTGCTCCACATCCCATTGCTACCAAGGAAGGTCCACGCTCAAATGCTGGTGTGTTTACAACTCCCCTTGTCCTTCCTTACCTTGCCAAGATTTTTGAAGAAATTGGCTGTCTTGAAAGACTCGAAAATTTCGCTTGTCATTACGGTAGACAATTCTATGGTTTGTCTCAAAAGGCTGGTTTTGAAGATAAGAAAGTCACTCTGGTCAAAGAAGACAATATTGTCGTTCCTCAGCATTATCAAATCTCTACTGCTAATGCCGAATTGGGTGTTGTCGTACCTTTTTATGCAAACAAAAACATTGGATGGAAGATTGCGTCCAATTTTGTTTAATGCCAAAATAAATTGTATACAAACAAACACACATTTATATGTATTATATTAACACACTGTATTTACACGCACAGATATATATACTCTCTAAAGTATGGTCCTCTTTTTCTTCAAGGGAACGCCTAATGATTCACTATCCACTTCATCCACATGACCTTTCATCCCATCAGATTCAATAGCGTGGCTAAAGTGTTGCATAAATGTCTCTTTATCTTGTTCAAAGCGATTGGATTCAATGCTATCACGAATGGCTGCCATGAATTGATCCAACTGATAGATGTTGTGGCTCATCAATAAAAGAGGGCCCAGCATCTCATGTGCATTTAATAAGTGGTGAATGTATGCTTTGGTATGAGGTCTAGAGCAAGCATTACAGCCACAAGAAGCATCAATAGGGTCAAAATCATGAGCAAAGTTAGGATCCCACAGATTGAGTGTCTTGGCTGCTGCTGCTTCCTCTGTCTCTTTCAGCTCCTTGCCAAACTTGAAAACGATGGCACGACCCTTTTGTGTTGCCTTATAGGCATAAGACCCATCAAAGAGATCGATACCATTAGAGATACCTTCGAGGATCTTTTCTGGGGTTGCTAATCCATAAGCTAATCTAGGCTTATCTTGTGGCAAATTGTCTACGGTTGCTCGAATCAAGGTTGGTATTTGGTCATGGCTCAATCCAAGCACATTGACAACGAATCCCTGCACATCACGCTGAGCGGTCTCTTTTGCTGATCGGGCACGTTCTTCTGTACTGGTATGGCCAAGTACATGAGCGAAAAGGGGGATATCCAATTCCTTTGGATGTTTGAATTAAACTATCATCAGAAATGGCCAAGTAAGCTTACCTTTGCTTTTGCCAGATTTTCGTCCAACCAACGCAATGATCTGTCTACAGATCTGATAATTCGCTTGTTCTTTGCCTCGAGATCGGTCACCGTATCGGCCATGGCAGCGACAAGATCTGGTCTATATACATTGAGAGCTTCTGTCCAAAGAGCAGGTGTCACCTGGCGGACACCACCATGAGATTCAACCGAGAGATACTTGTCTGTGTTGAAGGATACTGGGGATAGTTTGAGAGGATCACGTATATCGCAAAATAGAAGCATGTTCTATATCAGAATCAGATATCAACTTTATAATTATTGCATTCCTCCTTACTTCAAGGTGTAAATACTTGTGTAGGCCATGAGGAAACTTGAAAGAAGAGGGTTCCTTTTGTTCCAAACTATTAAAAATAATGAGTGAGACTTTCTTTTTCCTGATTTTATGCTTCAGTTACAATTGTTCCAGGGATATCTGAACAAGTTCAATAGGCAACAGTTTCAAGTTATCTGCAACCAAATGAGGAACTGATCCACGGAGTGAATATGTCAAACATGCGGGAGTCTGAATAGTCTTGTTCTTTTTTGTGAATTGAAGAGCTCCACGACGAATGATGTTGGAAGCAGAATTCTCGGCTAAATGGAAATTAACTGCACTTGCCATTCTGTCAAGTTTAAAGAAGAAGAAAAAAAAAAAAATAGAGTTCTGTCAACCTGAAAAAAAAAAATTCGACCAAAGCGGCAACTGAATTCGATCCATTTGTGTGCGTGTCTTGAATCAATCAGATCAGAAAGGGTGTTTCAACCAAAGGACGCCGATCTTTTGACTACAATGAATTCCCTTTTACTTAAACGAGTGATTCTGATAGTAATACTGATTACGAGTACAATGAATGTCATATGTATGTGCAATTAAATACACAGGTCTCAAACCAAAACCAGGCACACTATTCAGGCACTTGATGGAAGCAATTATCAAGTCTGTATGTTACTTGTTCTATGTGGGTTATTAATTAAAGCTTTATTGTAAAGATGAATATCAATAATAGTAATATAACAGTAGATATTCTAATGCAATTATTTCATTTACTGTAAGCTGACTTCGATTCTGATGTATTTCATATATATCATGAGCTTTATCAAACAGGTATCTGGAATGGTTGGTCATTATGGCCTTATTCCATATTTTTGACTTTGTATACTAAATGAGGTAGAAACTATACTTGGTCAGCAAATTGACAACATAAGTTACTACAATGTTTAATCATAAAAGCATACCGATAAACTGTTCTGTCATGATTTAATTGAACATCTTTGTAATTATAGATCGACTTGGTTATACTTTGCAATAATAAAGACAAAAGAAGTACCATAATCATTTATAGCTTTGAACTGTGATAAGTAGCATATTGATTATACAGTTTATTGAGTCCTTTTTTTCCCGTTATTCTTCTACTATCTTGTTGTATCTCTACGATTATATCAAAGAAGATTACACCTTTTGACGTAATATAAACAAAATATTTCGTACACAAGCCAAGGTACTATTGCCAAGCCCACAACACTGATTCATGGTATCTGTAATCGCAGTAGTTGATGACGCATCGTATGATATAATTTATAAGATGTTGACAACCTTTATTCTTACATATACAGATCAATTTTTTTCCCCATGAATCTCTTTTTTTTCTCTGTTCATGAATCACTTATCCCATCTTGGTGTATTCTTATGTTTTAGAAATAAAACCATTTATTCACAGGCAATATCACAGGCCATGCTAAACAAATTAACTAAATACAGCAATTTATCTCTTGAGAAGGCAATGAAAAGAAAGCAATCAACTACCAAATATGTGGTAATATATATAACTCCAAACTGATTGATGATAATATCATTAATTAAATGTTTTAAAGGTTTAAAGACGGTGTTCAACCAGTTGAGTGTGGCAGCGAGCAGCTGCTACATGGTGAACAAGTTCGGAAAAACCGTCAAGTTCCCGATCAGTGACGAGAATATCAAGAGGTTTGCTGATGAAAACTTGGAATAACTCTTATTGTACAAGGTATATTTGCCTTTTTGCACTTTTTCACATATTAAAATTTTTCTTGTAGGGCTTTATTCTACAAGAATTAGCAACATTGAAACAAGTTCCTCTAAAAGATGAATCGGACTCTGGCTCCCAGTCAATTGCAGAAGAACAAAGCTTCTTGAAGGTTTTATACACTGTCTCAGAAAAAGCAACCAAACTTCCAAAATTAAACGATGACGAATACGAGACAAAGGATGTGGTAATAAGCTTTCCTAACCATGCTTTATTTTCTATAATATAATAGTAAAGATTTCTAAGTCTAATGCAATCGGTCAAGGGAGTGGCACAAATAAAATAAAGATAAAAAAGACTTCAGAAGAACGAAGGGCAATCAGGCCTTGAAAAGGCTAAAGCAGCAAAGTTATACAACAAGAGACTAGATGATGCGGCCAAGACAAAAGGAGAAATACCATCTTCTAATGCTGATAACAATAAAGTAATCTTTTTTCTCTTTCATTAACTCATTTAAAAACATGCTAGCCTAGATTTCAGTAAATTGCATTCAGCCATTAGTTGTATCCAAAAATGAGACGAAAGAAAGCATGGCCCGGGAAGTTTCTTTTTTATTTTCTCAGAACTCACCATATGATTAGAGAGATTGCAAGCCTTGTTGGTCATAGAAAGTCTACTGCTTGTAATCACCACACGATCTTTAGGCTGCCGTCTACTATTCATCTAGTCAAGGATAAATTCAAGATCGAGGTTAGTAAGCCATTCAATACGGTGGATTCACGAGGAAACCCTAGAGCTGTCGAGCTTCTCGAACAAACAACGGCCCATTTTATTCCCTTGTGTGCTTGTGATGATTCTTGAGGCGCTAGATTGATGCTTTATTGCTATTGGCTTCTTGGCGAAACGAAAATTTCCACAGCACCCAGTAGCGTACAGAGTAACTGCAATAATCAATAAGTAAAAGGAAAAGCTAACTTGTGCACTTAAAAAGGTGTAGAAGTAGTCAACGACAGTGCTTTCGAAGACCAAGACCTGCGCTTTACGTCTTTGTCTGTCGAGGAAAGTGACAGCAGTGAGGAAATGGAAGTTCATAAGCTAACATAAAAAAAATTACAATACCGCTTATATAAAATATTTTAATGATGTCAATCCCATTGATACGGCTATTATATTGTATTCCCAAACTGCTGGTTGCTTTGAGCAGTTAAATAAGACAAACACAGGGAAGGAAGGTAGAAGCACTGTCAGAAAACGTATGTAGAAAATATATTTATAATGTACAGAGAAGTTAACGTACAGTTTCAATGTAGGCAAGCAAAATACCAAAAGAAAGATGACAAAGAAGACATATTAAGCCTTTTTTCATAAGCGTTTTTATATATAAAACTATAGTAACTAAATTCCAAAGCATTAGACAGTTTCTATTGTATACAAGCTACTTTATATAATGCGTATGAAGTAATAACAGTAACAAAGGAGTAGGGGGAAATGCTGAACCTTGTTTTTTGGAGAGTAGAAATCTTTAGATAATTGAAAAAAATCATTAGATGGCAATATAAAGATTTCTAAAATTTTCCGCAAAACGAAGAAACGCGAAAAAAAAAAAAAAAATATCTAATGATTTCTTCCGATGATCTAAGGATTTCTACACAATTTTTTATTAAAACTTCCCGCCAAAATTTCTTGCAGTGAACGATAAAGACATTAAAAATGATAATTGCATTTATTATATGATTTGTATTTATTATTGGGATTAGTCAGTTTATGTTACTGAACTTTTGTTATTGACACTGCTTATTGACCCTTATTCAAAGTAAAATACTACAGAGCGTCCAGACAACTATGAAAAAGTAGTTTATACCTGGATGCATGTCTACTCGTTCAACCACGATCCTATTTAGACCTTTGGTAAAAATAGAATAGGTCAGCCTTCTAGAGCTTTTGTAAAATTAATGGTACACCTCTTATGGCCAAAGAAAGACATTTTTATTAGAATCAATAAATCAAACTACCTGTATTTGTTATACCTAATTGTACGTTCAAGGAACAAAAAAACCGCAATATAATTCAATGAACAGACGATGCCTAATAGACTATACACCACAACAGTATTCTCCCGCAACTTGGCAGTGTTTATTCCTCCCAGGCCATTCCACAGTGTAGGTAAATTCATTCTAATATCATATCATAACCCCTTCGAAGACTCGCATAGCCAACGTGATGAAGTAGATGCGTCTTCAATCTTGGTAACGTTTCCAATGATCTATTAGCGCTTCTTCTGGAAATGAACGTAATTAATTGTGGGCATGATATAGTTACCTGTAGACGTCTTGCTTCTTCTGGGTGCATCTAGCATTTCTCTTAACGCTTCGAATTCATGGATACTATCTTATTTTAGCACTGATATTGACTTATAGAGTATTCAAAGAGCTTGCCATGCTTGGCACTGTACCTGTCCGTATTCTATAGTAGACAGAGTGACAACACACTAATAATATGTATTATAGTGTGGTATATATTGTTGTCATGTATTAATAACATATTATTATCACAAAAGAAAGAGAGAGAAAAGAGAAAAGAAAAAAAGAAGAATGATTTATTGTTTTTAATGATGGAAATCAAATTATTTTACATCATAACTAAAAATCACGTAATAATATTCTCATTCTGTTCAATTATGATTTATACTGCTTCCCTTTCTTTTTGACTGGTACTGTTGAGATAAGCAAGACGCCCCTTTTCTGTTTTTGCTTATATCCGAGGCGCTCATTTTCTTATTTTGCTTAAATCTATCTTTTTCTTTCAAGCTTCTTTTAATTTCTTTTTGCATGATTTAAAACAAAGTAACTGATTAAAGAGAAGGAGTATATCTTTACTAACGTGTTATAAAAAGCCAGCCTGTACATTCATTTGTTTACTTCACTTTTTTATTATCAATACAACATTTTAATAAAGATATAGCCCTTCTCTTTAATCAGTTACTTTGTTTTAAATCACGCAAATAGAATCAATTTGGAGAGAATTTTTAATTCTTCATTTTTATTCGATCAATCATGACACAATTTCAAATTTAAGGGCTTGAGTATAAAGATAGATTTAAGAGAATGACCACCTCGGATCTAAAAAAAAAGTGGGAAAGAAGGACGTATTGCTTATCTCGGTAATACCAATAAAAAGGAAAGGAAAGCAATTAAAATGATTTTATACGTAGCACAGATCATAGAATAAAGCATTCCCATTATTTTGCATGAATTTTCTTTTGCTGTGCACGCGAAAAAATAATAACCTGTACTCTTATTTATTCTCTAGCTTAGACCTTATGCATTGCCCGCAACAAAGGTGTAAACATTTACTTTATATTACTATCATCTCGCTTGCCTTTCAATGTAATTAAACAAATTTACGGATTTCTAGAGTTAAATGAGCAGCTTGTTAACATCCACAATAGCGTTATTGTGAAGGTGATACAGTAAATTAGCTCCCAGTTCCAGTAGAGCTTTCATCTTTTAAATGCGATGTATGCATATTTGATTGTTAATATATTGTACTGATTTCACCAACACATAAAGAAAAGACTAAGCAATAATATATCACGAAAGGACGCGTAAGTTATTTTATTTCTTTATTCACAGTTACGCAAGCAAATACTGAAATGAGTTTTTAATCCACTGTAGAATACACGTGCCTTTGATCTCACAGGTGTTTTTAGATACTTATTTCCTTCTTTGAGCTGCTCAAAGCAAACCTATCTAATAAAAGCATTATATACTCGCAATTGTCATATAGACAAATAAATATAAATTTATTTGTTTCTAAATTAGTGCTTTGCTATTTGCACAGCACGTCTACACAGGATTTACGCAACATTTACAACACTGAAGTATAAGAGAAGTATCTTTTTATTATATTGAGAAGACAGAGAGAGCTCATCATTAAAAGCAACATCATTTTGTAAGAAAACAGGATTATTGCATCAATTGATCACGACCAACGAGAATTGAGCATGACGCGTCTATAAGAATAATGAATTTTGTGGTCAGCTTTTTTTTGTTTCTTTTTTTCTTCAAGTACTCTTTTACAAAATGGACTGTATAAAGTAAATGCTATAAATATACTGTATGAAAGATTGTACGTAACACTGTGTAAGTGTTGTGTGTCTAATTCTGCTTGCTATGTAAATAGCAAAACTTAATGCTACATTGGTAAATTCAAGTTAAAGATTTACTAAACTTTAATAACACTACTAATAGCAGCCATTTTTAGGGGAGACATTATTCCGAAGAATACCAAAAGAAAGTTTAATTATGGAGTCAGATTTACGAATTTTAAGTGGTGTAAATACAAGCCCAGTGGATTTATGTGTAGGAGAGTTCGCAAAGAAGGCGTATAGGTCAAATATATACAACGACAAATTAAAATTGGTGACATTATCGAAGCGCCATCTCAACCCTCTGCTTCGATAGGGACTACCTGCAAAAGACGCGGTAATCTCATTAATTCAAGTGATGGGCTTTGAATATAAACTGTGCATTTTAAATGTTGTTGACAACTTTTATGTTCTGAAGCAAGTATACGTGGCTGCTTACCCCACTACGCACAAACACCTTGCTAGTAGGGGTATCGAAGAATCAACTTCTTTTATGAGAGAAGTCAAGGTAAAGCTATATTTGCAAAGAAGTAATTACATCAATTTGTCTAACTCTTTTTATATATAGGTGCATTCTTTTAGGGGAAGTAGAAGATACCCCATGTAAACTGAAGTTGACAGATACGAATAATTAGAAAGAATATGAAGAAAATTATAAAAAAGATGACGATGATGATGAAAAGAAAGAGAAAAATTCACTATGACATTATAAATTAAGTTTATTTTAGAATAAACATTAAGCTGACATTCATTCTTTTCTTGCTTGAATTCTTTCTAGAGTATTTCTTTCTACCGCCTCCATTGAACTTTTTAAAGAGCAAAATCCCGTAGTCATATAAAGCACTTTTGAGAATACTCAAGTTCTCAGCCTTATTATTTACTTGATCCACCCACTGAGCCATCTTGGGTGGGGTATTGGAAATGGAAGTCGGATATTAATTCTCTGGCGTTTATAAAGAAAAGTAAACACATTGCAGTGGATTTTGTAGAGCAAGTGTATGAACCAGTTTTTCTGGAGCTTTACAACAGCTTGCGAAACTCAATCCTTATGAAAGATAATACGCCTGTACACACTGCAAATTGTGGAAGAAAATAGAGGGAAGAACACTGATTTGAAAAATTGAGGTGGTCCGCGCAATCGCCCGATTTAAACCTCGTTGAAAATCTCTAGATCAAATGAAGACAGAGATAAAAGCCTAATGTAATCAGCCTGAAGATCATGGATGACTTGAAGAATGTTATGGAACACATAAAGGAATGATCCTGAAGGGCTTTTCAAAGCCATCCATTTCTATGAAAGCAGCAATAAACAAAGCAAAGAAGAATAACATTCATAGTCTGTCTGTTTGTGACTTGCTGACTGATGGTATGGAGTAGCTTTTTTGTTTATTGAAATGAATTAAAACGTTTACTTTTACTGAATAGATTGCATCATACATCTTTATTACATAGTGAACAAATTGTAGCAAATGTACTGAGTGTTTTTAACCTTGACTATTTTGTAACATCTTTAGTCTTCATAAAATAACTACTTCCATACTCATTTAATGTCCTCATTGATTTGACTTTTGGCTTTAGAGCAGCCTTTCTTTAATTTTGTGTATTCTCTGATTTCACGATATCCGTTAGAGACTACCTTTTGTAGTAAGTGGCTGACTGCAAGCTTCTTTTTTTTTTATTTTTATTTTTTTTTTATTTCCGCATTATTATTACGGATTGATTATACAGTATTTCCAAAGACTATTGACACTGATGCCAAGAGTAAAACTCGCACTTGTTAAATTCTAATGTCACGCTAACCATTGGTTGATTTCGCTTGCTGACAGACTAAATGTCGTGTATGTAGAAGCTTTGTTGTACAAAATATGAGTATATTAAGCACGAAAGCACCATCAGCTCTCTTTTTCTTTTTTACTCTCTTTCTCATTAAAAACCGAGTATTATAATATGAGCTTTCAAACCTTCTATGAAGACGGGCACGGTAATGGAGTTGATGAATACGGTAGACCTGAGCCTATGGACTACATCATTGATGAAGAGCGATATGCTTTAGAGACAGTTAACTCAAACACTCATTATTTGCATAATCAGCTTCAGGAGAATAATTTCGATGTAGGCTCTATAGCAGATGAAGATGCAAAAGATGACGTAGATGTTTGCATGAAAAAGGTGTCAAGTAAGCGAGCGTACACACTCTATACGGATCTAGACAAAGTCAGATTCTTTAAATTGATGTTTGAGAAAGTTATGAGTGCTTCAGTTGCTGCAAAGTAATTAGGTATTCATGTTCGCACAACTCAAAGATGGGCTCAAATGCGCAAAACGGATCCTGATCGGATTTTTATAAAACATAAGAAAACTGATCACTCGCATATACTTCATGAAGAGCATGAGCAAGTGATCTTGGAGTATATTGATTAGAATCCTTCAGCCGTCTTGGAGCAAGTAATGGAGCGGCTGTTTCAAAAGTTTCAGGATCTCAAGGCCTCTAAAAGCACCATCTATAATTTTGTAAGAACTGAATGTAACTTCTCTGCCAAAACATCCTGAGAATTCGATGGTCTAATGCTGTTGATAAACTGGACTATTGGCGCCGAATTGTCAATCTTAATTCAAAAGCTCTCAAGCCTCCAGAATGTGGATAACTTAAATTTCGTGGCACTATTCAAACTGATGGCGTTAGTGTCAGGGTTTTCAAGATAGAGGTTCGACAGGCAAACAAGATACACGGCAAGGTTCACAGTGGAGCATGAAGCTATCTCCTACATCACCAATCTAACTCGTCGAAATTATCAGGAGATTTCTGGTCGATGCGTCGCTGTGGACCCAGGAAGAAGAGATATGTTGTATTTTGTACACGAAAACTCTACACCAGAACAACCAGTGAAATTTCGGTACATTAAATAGCAGCAAGAGAAGACATGAAAAACCAAAAAGTACCGTCGGATCTTGCAAGATCTCAAAGCTCAAGATCCTGATGTCGCTCAAGCTGAGATAGTGGATACCCCTCTTTCGTAAGATCCATGTTTTAGCGTACTTCAACAAACAATGTGCTGATCAAAAGCTTATTCAAGGCTTAAGTGCCAAGTTTGGAGAAGACGCCGTGTTTGTGATGGGAAACTGGGCCGCTCCCCATGCTAGGTACCGTGAACCCATCCGTGGCCTTGGTCTCCGAAGACTCTTCAAGAAACATGGGTTCCAAGTCTTTCTTATAGACGAGCACAAGACCAGTAGGTGCTGTCCAACATGCCACAACGAAAGCCTCTACAAGTTCCGTCGTGTTCCAAATCCACGATTGTATCAACGAGAGCGATATTCTACAGCTGTCTGCCATGGCCCTTTAAGGTAATAATAAATGAACCACTTGGATGACTTTATACTGATTAAATACTATTTGTAGATGTATCAATCTATACTGTAAATCCATCATAGCAGCACCAGATAGATATCGCTTATGGAATAGGGATGTTGCTGCTTGCCTCAGCTATATGCACATCCTTCGTGGGCTTCGGCGTAATGGCATGGTTCTTCATAGGCTTCTCCGGGTTTCTGTTGCTCCTACAAGACGTCGAAGAAGAGTAGATGATCAGGAGCAACCAAGAAGTAGAATACGTTTAGACGATGATTCTCCATCCTAGTTATCACTAGGACGCATCTAGATGCCTTCGGGATAAGTTGTATACATGTAATAATTTTCTTACACAGCTAACTGTATAATTCTTTCTATTCTTTCTTTGGTACTTATTATTCTCATCTGTATACCGTCTCCTTTTGCACGCATTTTATATGTGCCAATCATTTTTTCATACACGTCATAACTTTACCCTCTTTTAAGAGATACATGCTTAAACAGTCTGGGATATAGTCGAACAACTCTTGTACGGAAAGCTCTAGCCCTGTTGTTAGTCAATTGTTCATAGGCATATCCATTACTTAGATGAGATGGGAGGTTTGGTATGATAGCAAGAATAGCCTAGCTTATTTGAACTGCACTAGTAATCATCTGGGCTCTAAATGCGTCTTTGATGCTAAGAGTCATCTGATTGGCTGAAGGACATATAGTTATTTCAGTGGAGAGAAAGAGAGAAAAAAGGGCCATCAAGCAGATATTCGGATAATAGACTTTGTGCGTGTTATCATTAAATAGATCCAATGCAAAAATGAATTTTGCTATCTCCTTGATAGTGTCCCTTTTGATATCACACTCATTTTCTTCTAGTTCATCGGTAGCTGACTTTATCAGATACAGGCAAGATAAAGATTGATCTCTTTTTCTTTGTTTTTTATGCTTTTTGATCATCGAGAAGAACTTGAGCCTTTAGTAACAAAACGAAAGGACAACTGGAGATGGCTCATTTTGCTGTCTTTTTCGTTCTTTTCGTTTTCAAGTGCCTTAATGTTTGTGTCAACTGCTGATGAGTTGTGTGTCTCTTTTTTATACTTTTTTTTTGTTGAATAGGTGGATCACATTTGCACCATGTCTCTATATATTTACTCAGTATTACTTCCAAGTCACTAATACATACACCACAAATGCCATCAATTTCTTGTCTTCAATATACATGCTCATTTACCCTTTTGCCATTCAATTCACTTTCAAGTATTTTGAAGATCCAATACCTAATCATAAACCAGGAAGTGGACTTCGACGTGGTATTCTTATTGGAGCTATTTTAAATGCATTGGCTGGTTGTATACGATGGCTAGGTGCGGTACCTTCGCTCTATGGGTTCATTATATTATTTATAGGACAGACAATAGCTGCTGTTGGTAGATTTTATATACATATTACTTGTAAAGGAAAAGAAAGACTTGACATTATTTTTTATTTTTATAAAAGCACAAGTATTTATGCTTGCTATACCTCCTCAGCTGGCTGTCGCATGGTTTCCTGAAGATGAAGTCAACATTGCTACTTCAATAGCTGTTTCAGCTAATAACTTAGGTATTGGCGTAGGATGTGCCTTGACACCGATAATCGTGAAGCAATCCACTAGCAAAGTAGACATACCAAATTTACTCTTTATTCAGGTAAATGTGTTTATTTATATAAAAAAAACTATATATTACTAACTAATAAAAAGTGTATCATGTGTCTAATAGTTCTCTTCTTGATCTGGATCTCATTTGAACGACAGCCACCTTATTGGCGAAGGTAGATTGCTTTTACTTCTTTGCAAGTTGTTTATTAACCAAAGCTCAGTATGATGATCGGTATGAATTCTACCGAACAAGCTATTAAACTATGGAAACAAAAGGATTTTATCTACATGCTAGGTGCTTATAGTATCATCATGGGAGGACAATGTGCAATCATCACTTTGCTCGCACAGATACTCATTCCACCCTTTCATCTCCAAATGAATGAGAAATATGTCGGCATTTTAGGCGCTGTCATGCTCTTTGGTGGATCTTTCGCAAGTATTTCTACGGGCTATTATCTTGACAAGACATTAAAGTATAGGAAATCATGTACACTATTAGCACTCTTGTCTGCATTTACAATATTAGGACTGTACATTGCAACCGAAGTACAATCCTTAGTTGGCGTTGTGATAACATGGTAATACATGATATATGTTATGTGTAGCTGTATTAACTCAATTTGTATCAGCATTGGTTTTGGTATAGCTTCTTATGGTAGGCAGATCATCATAAACAACATTTTTTATAAACTTATTTTACTTTATGAATAGCCATTGCACCTGCTATTTTTCAATTTGCCAGTGAGCTATTTTATCCAATCAGCGAGATTATACCTACAGGCTATCTATTTACAGGAGGGAATATCGGAGGCGTCCTTTTGGTCGCACTGATGGGTTGGAGTGAAAATCCTGCAGATAGGTTCTCTATGCGATTGCCCATTGTTTGCTTAACACTAGCCATGTTTGCAAGTGTTTTCATGATGCTTCAAGTCAAAGGAACTCTTAAGCGAACAAGTCAAATACATTAATACCCCTCACACATAATAAATATTTATTTGATTTCACATTCATATACATCAATCGTTTGGTTCAATAATCCCAGTATAAGTTCGTCTTTTCCATCCGCATTCACGTCCCCCAGAGTTACTGCAAGTGGCCAGTCTAGTGTTTGTATGGTTGATATTTTCTAATTACAGTCTTATGAGTTCAAAAAGGTATATTCAATGCCTTTCTTTACCTCTCCATTTTGGAAAACAAGTACTTGATTCGAATGGCCTGTACATATTAAAAGATCTACTTCATACTCCTTGAGATCTGATGGTCTCCATCTTTGAATGTTTGTAATAGGAAAGTCAACCTTTATCCAAGGGTATATCTACAAACATTAATGGGAGTCAGCCATGATGCTCTGTTTGTGCTTTCTTTATGCTTACTTCAAAGTTAATCATGATATAGACATAGCCATCCTTCCCTCCTAATAGGATCTGCTGATCAATTAATTTCGTATGGCTCTCTCTGGCCTTACTGGTTGGCTTAAATCTTCGCATAGTATTCATATCAATAAAGTTTCCTGCACAAATCTAGAAATGATATAAATATGCCTTTCTTTGATCTACCAAAAACGCTGCTTACCGATTGAATGACTGCGGGTGTCTTTAATGACATAAATCTTTCACCATCCTGAATAAAGTGGACAAAGGGCCAACCATCACAGACAAGTAAACAGGCCATATCCATACCATATCTATCCTTCATAATGGCTGAAAGCATACATTGAACACTAGGCAATCTGCGACCTTTCTAAAGGAGAAAGATATATAAAGGGAAGGAGCTAGCATAAGTTATTGCCTTTTTTTTTTTTCTTCAGGTTGTATAATATTATTTATGTACCATTCCGATTGTAGATAACTTTAACGATTCTTCTGCTATATTTATTTTCCACAAGGCATCATGTTGTTGGAAACTAGTGACTACACCACTCATATCACCTGCGATAATCTCACATCCTCCAACTACCTTCAAAGTTAATATGAGCATAAAAGGTATATATATATAAATAATGCTAACCCAAGTCATTATATACAACAATATCCGTAATAGCCGAACCCAACTCCCTTTTACTCAAGATCTTTTGCCTTGAGAACAATGTAACAACACCATCGCAGTCACCAACGGCAAGATCCAATTCACCAAAGCCTGTTAGATCATGTAACTTGATGGCTTGAATAGATCCTCCTTTTGTTTCTAATAAGCATTCCACTGGCTATAAAGCATGTAATGTCAGCTCTCTAGTCCATACAGTGACTCTTGTTACCTTTGTTTGATTCAGAATAAGTACGCGTCCAGCTGTTGTGCCAATCAAGATGTCATTTTCTTCACTAAAGTCTTCCAAAAATGGCTTTCCAACAGCTAGACAATTGACAGAATCGTGTAACTTTGTCGACCACAACTTGTTGAATGCCAGTGTTTGTCGCATGTAAATGAAAAAAGAAAGAGAAAAGAAATAATTTTTCCTTTCTTTTTCTTCTTTTTTATTTGTGTGATAATCATGGATGACAAGGAAGTGATGGACTTAGGTTATATCACTTTTTTAATTGTGCAATTAGCTGTTTATCAGACTATATTTATAATATATGTATAGACTTGGAATTAGAACAAGAATTGACTAATGATGATGTTCAAGTTCCCGAAGAACCCATAATCGAATCTAATGTACAACTAGTCGGCGATGAACCCATAGATCGATTTGAAGCTTTACCTCGACCCACTGCCATTTATCTGCACGGTGTGAACGAGATGAGTACGGAGGATGTCAAGACATATGCCGGTCGTCCTGAAACATTACAAAAGGTTGAATGGATTGATGACAGTTCTTGTAAAAATGCGCATAGTTTTTTTTTTATATCTCTTCTTCTATTCACTCTTTTTTAATGATACTTATATCTTAGGCAATCTTGTATTCGATACAGCAGAGGATGCTAAAAAGGTGGCTGAAAGTATATTGATTGAAGTAACAGACATGGACCATAAAACCTTGCAAAAGGCTAAACCGTTTGTGTCTGATGACATCATCTGCGATCAATTATCGATTCGTATCGCAACAGATGAAGATATAAAACGACAAGGAGCCAGAGAAAGAAGCCGATATTACAAGATCTATGGCATTCAGAATGAAAAGTTGCCCAAAGACAAGGCAGAGGCTCGAAGAGAATTAATAGACAGGATGAGCAAAAACGGAGGAGATGGACGAAGTGTGTTTGAACGATTAGGAAACCGAGTGACTGAAGAAAGACCACGAGGCAGAGGACGAAGAGAAAGAAGGAGCAGTCGATCAGCCTCTCCTATTAAACGTGATATCCCTGACCACCTAAAGCAAAGATTAGGATCCAGAAGGGATGGTGATGATGAATAAAGGATTAGCCGTAAAATCAAAAAAAAAGGGAGGGACTATTTAATGTTTATTTTTGAATTTAAGTAAAGGTGCCAGTATTTCTAAAGGACCTGCCTTCTTCAAGAATTCATGTTGCATCAGTTCTTCAGCAGTAGCTCTTGATCGAACATCAACACATAAACAGACAGCCAAGAAACTCTTGAGTTCTTTAGAAAGCCTTTCTGGGTTCTTCAATGTAGGTGTACCATTCGTGGCGATCAAATAAAGGGCCTTCAAGGGCTCTTCATCCAAATAAGGAGGCTCGTTTTCGATCATTTCAATAGCCATGATACCAAGAGACCAAATGTCAACCTTGGCACCGTACTCCTTTTGCTTGACAACTTCAGGGGCCATCCAGTAAGGTGTACCTACCATAGTGGCACGCTTTCTTCTTTGATCAGTTAACTTGGCACAGAAACCAAAGTCACTGATCTTGACCTGACCATGAGCGTTCAGTAGAATGTTATCTGATTTGATATCTCTGTGGAGGATATTTTGACTGTGCAAGTGCAAAAGACCAGCCGTTGTCTATATAAACATTCATCAGCTTTTATTCTCCCCTTATTTATATAATTTACCTCATGACAAACAGTAGCAATCTGTTGCTCAGTCATGGTATTGTTATCAATCACATCTGTCAAGGCACCACCTTCCATATATTCCATGACGACCCAAAGATCATTGTTTCTAATCAAGAAGGAGTCCAAGTAGTTGACAATATTGGGATGTTGAGATTCCTTCATGACCAAGATTTCAGTGACAATCAAATCCTTACGGGGTTGGCTACTTAGATCCATTTGCTTAATGGCAACCTTGGTATTAGTAGCAAGTGATAAGGCAACATAAACAGATCCAGATGCACTATACAAATATAATGAGTTCTCTCTATTTCCCCCTTTTTGTATATCTATGAATTACCCTTGACCAACACGCTTCAGTTTTTTATAAGATTCATTTGGATCACCAGCAGTAACAACGTTTTCTATATGATAATGAGTTTCTTGTACATATACTTTTATCATGTTACTTTACTAAGATATTCCATCACTTGGGCCTCGTTCATCGTACTGATACGCTGCTCAACCTTCTTTTTAGGAGCAGATACTTGTTGAGCTGCTTTTTCTCTTTCACGCTGGGTTCTTTCTTGTTCTCTCAATTTCTTTTCCTTTTCACGCATTTCAATTTCCACTCGTTCACGTTCTCTCAAGACTCTTTCATCATGAGCAGAGAAACTTGTTGTACGAGCGGGAGTTCTCTGAGACTTGGAAGGCTCGGGTCTGGGATATCCCTAGCACGTTTTTTAAGTATGAGTTTAGTTTTAAAAATAGACCCCAGAAAAAAAGAAAAAACTTACAGGTGAAGGAGGTAGACGATCACTAGGTGAATAACGTGGATCAATGGGTGACTTGGGCTAATACAACAATGAAATGAGATGACTAACATAACGAAAAAAAAAAGTAGCCTTACACTCTTGATGGACAATTCATCCATCATGTCATGAATATCCTGAGGACGTCTAGCGATAGGTGGAGGAGGTGCAGGTCTAGGAGGTGCCGGTCTATGGGGTACTGGTTTGGTCTGTTTTGATTCTTGAATAAGAGCAGCCCAGCGATCATCACTCATTCTTTCGACAGCACCTTGTAAATTGGAAGTACCATATTCTTCTGCTTCTCGCTTTGTCTGCTCTGTATAAAATTCGAGTACATCCAAAACTGCTTGAGGATTCTTGGCAGCGTCTTCGGCCGTAATGGCTGAGCCTTTCAATAGCTTGGTCCATTGGTCAGGCAATCCCTGTAACACACATAATTAATTATGTATACACAATGAAATAATAAAGACTTACAGTAAATGCACCTGTATGTGGATCAAATCCAACATGAACCTCATGAACAAAATTGGTTGGTCCTGAAGCACCCACTGTCGATCTCTATCTTTTTTATTAGATTTGATGAATTAATTATATGTAAACTTACGTTATATATCTCATCCATCCAGGAATATAGTTCTCCATCATTTTTGCAAGCAATATAATATGTTTTGTCTTTAGTGGCAACTTCAAAGCAGTAAGGTTTCAAATCGGTTCGAGTGACTGAAGTGATTTCTTTTAAAAAGATGAGAGCAACACATTGTCCAGATTGCTATATAGAATTAGTATATATATAATCAGATGATGAAGTCATTACCTCATTTCTATGAAAAGTCAGAGCCTGATCTCTTAAAACACAGTATCGTTTTGACCAAATCCAGGCTCTCAAACCGTCTTCTTTGACATTCAAGTAACCTTCCTTTACGATTTCAGTCATAGGTATATAATCTACTGCTTATAAATAATAATAATAAAAAGAGAAAAGAAAGAGAAGGGGAGGATAGGAGAGAGAGAGGGGGAGTGTATATATATATATATTTTAGTGTGTGCGTATATATAAGTGAAGAAGGTGTGTATTTATACAAAAGAGAGAGAAAAGAAAGTTATTTCTTTTAAATGTCAAAATTGACTGTTTATAATTTCTTTGTTCTCTTTATGCAAGTTAATATTCAAGAACAATCAAAAAGATAGAGAAAAGAAGAAAAAAAAAGATAAAGATCATAGTCGGCCCCTAATTATAATTAATGTAGCACGCGGTCAATAAACTTTATTCCTTTTTCTGGCCTAGAAATCATTGATACTCCTCTTTTCTTTAATAATATTCATTTTGCTCCTTTCTTTAAAACGAAAGAAAGGGGGGAGGGTAGTAATGATCTTTTTCATCTCGTCCTCCCCCCTTTCTTTTCTTTCATTTACACATTGTGTCATCTTGTGTATTTAAAAGTGAACTTCGACTTTGTTTGTTTCACAATATTTTCTTTCTTTTTCTCTCTCTCTGCCTTTTTTTTTTGATTCTGTGATTCATTTAATAGAAACCATATAATATGGTTTCCATGACAACATAAATTCATTTTTCTATCAATGGTATCATATTTTTTTTTTTTTACAGAATTAGAAAATGAAAGAACAGAAATGTAAATAGTGTCATATAGACAAGTCTGTTTGTTTGTTGACTGTATTTATTCCTGAAGAATGTTACACAAATATGCTTGTTCCTGACTGATGCATTGTAACATTTCAAATGTTTACACATAGGAGAGTAAAAGGAGGGGGGGAGTGAGGTAGAGAAGATCTTTTTATATGTGTTTTTATACAAGGCGGGAATATAAAAAATAATATAAACATATACGAATTATTTGTGTGATTCAAACTTTGCCTTTTTCCCCCTTTTTTCTCTCTTCTAAAAGAATCTTTAACAACAAAAAAATTCTTTTCCCTTTTTTTTTCCTTCCCTTTATTTCATTCTTTTTTATTTGTCTTTTTTTAAAATGTCATTTATGCGAGCAGCACAGGCCATTAGAACGACAGGAGCCAATCTTGTCGGACTGTGGCGTCCGAGCTTTGTCAAAGTCGATGACCGATTTTATGTGTTTGGAGGTGGCGGACATACCGTGACAAATGACTTACACTTACTTGATTTGACAAACATGAAGTGGGAGAAAGTTCAAGTGAGTTGATGACGACATATCGATGAACAACATTAACATCATTTCTTAGAATGTGAAAGGCATTCCACCATGTAAAAGATATGGTCATACAGCTACCTTGTGGAATCATTGTATTGTTATATTTGGTAAATATGGCCTTGCAGCCTTTTAGTCAATTATCAAATCTAAGAAAAAGCCCTTCTACTGTAGGTGGATGTAATGAATCCCAAGAGTATTGTAATGACGTTCATATATTTGATATAGAAACATCAACATGGATTCAACCAGAGTTGAAGGACGTAGTACCTGCCAGATATTTACACAGTGCAGTTGTGTATGGCAATAAGTTATTTATTTATGGTGGATTTGCAAAGAACCCAGAGTGTAAGAAAAAGAAAAGGGGTAGATACGTTACTCATACTATGTGTACTACTTAGGTACATATGTTTTAGATGAATTGAGTGTATTAGATTTAACAACCTTTATGTGGACAAGATACCATGGTATACCCCCTCGCTACAACCACTCAGCTACTTTAATTGGACATAAAATGTATATTTATGCTGGTAAAGATGAACAGGGCAACACAGTCTCGGATCTGTTTGTTCTCAACCTCAATATACCTCCTTATACCCCTCACCTTGTCCTCAGTGGATCACGCCAGATGGTTTTATTAAAAAGTCAACACTTTTGTGAAGCTGTCTGTGGCAAACTAGTTGTCTTTGGAAAATACTTAACTGATTATTCAAAGCATGAAAATAATGTCTATGGTTTATGGATGCTTGATCTAGATACACTCGAATGGCATAGACAAGACTGTAACTCTTTGTTCGATACTGGTGGTTGGAATTACTTTACGATCATCACCAGTACTACCCCAGATCATGTCAGAATCAATAAATTGTTCTTTCTAGGCAATACAGATCAACATCGCCCTCAGGGTTATGACCATTTTAGGTAAGCTATCCCCTTTCTCTCTCTCCTTTTTTTTTGGCCATTTATAGACTAACCTCTTTTATACTGCAGAGATGCATTGGTCATTCATAGCGAGTTTCTGGGATTATATGATATACCTCAGGTTCAGTTCTCTTTGGAATTTTCAAAATTGTTAAACAACCCAGAGCTATCCGACTTCATCATCGTTCCATCCAACGGTCAAGAGCTGTATGTTCATCAAGTCATCCTTATCACGCGCTGGCCGCATTTCAGAAACATGTACACATCAGGCATGCTTGAATCGCAACAAAAGCGAATGGAAATACCCGAGAGCTACGAGGTCGTCTTGGCCTTTCTCAAATATTTGTACAATGATACATTGGACATGAACGAACCTTGCTCTGTTGTCTGCGACTTGCTTGTCCTAGCCAATATGTATCTCCTACACCGACTTAAAAAGATCTGCTGTGTTGTGCTCTATCGTCATCATTTGACAATTCAAAACTGCGGTTTGATCTTTGAGAAATCCATTATGGCAGAAGAGACAGGGCTCAAATTGCTCGTGTTGGATTTTATGTTTAAACATTATGGTGCCGTTCTCAAGTCAAATGTTCTCTTACAGATGCCACCCTTTGCTCGACAAGAATTTTTGGAAGCAGTGCCAGATGAGGCCATATTAGAGGTCAACCATCGATTTATTACGACGCGTTCGATACCAAGATCTATCACTTCTACACTTCAGTTATCTGCAAATAGACACAATATAAAATTTAATAGTAGTACTGATATCAGTACTATTGCTTCCACCGGTACTATTATTAGTAGAAATATCAGCAATCACAACAACAGCAACAATAGTAGTAGCAGCAGTAGTAGCAGTACCGCCACCACCACCAACAGTAGCAGCAATAGTAATAATAATAGTAATAGCAATAATGACAGTAGAATATTTCAAAGAGAATCAATAAGTAGGCTTTTACGTAGTCATGACAGTGAAGAAACATTGGTATCTTAATTCAATAAATAGAAGTGGCTGCCATTTTTTTTTTAAAAAACAGTTTTTATTATCACACGTCTTTCTACCAAGCAGCTTCATTAGAATTTAATAAGAGTGTAAAAGACTAGGAGATGTTACTAAACAAAGATGTGTGTGTATTATCAATATTTACTTGTTTTTCTTCTGGTATCACATTATGATTCTCTTGTATTAAATGTTCATTATCGTCACTAATACTACTATTACTACTGTCTGTACTACTGTCCTCATTATTATCTGCTTGAGGAAGAGGCGGTATATATCCATCCAAGTATCTATATGAACTATTTACTGGTTGCGTGATCAGCTCCTTATTACTATGATCTTCTTCTTCTTCTTTTGATGGCTTTAGTAAAACATGTTTATATATAACGGATGCCCCATTTGAATGAGGATTTTGTAGCCAATACAAGATGAATAGTTTGTAAAGGTTATATTTCCTTTTTGGCAACAGGTTAGAGTCTACCCAATGATCCAGCACTACACATACACACATTAATAACTTGTAAATGATAATTGTAACAAAACAAATAATAACCTTGAAAGCTCCCATAGATCATCCAATAAGTCAACCAACTGTTCAGTTCCTCAGTTGTACCCTCTCTCTGTCGAATCAAGTTCCAACTACACTGTATTGGATAAAGAACACCGACAAGTGTCAAGACGAGCCTTGTTGATCGTCTATAGAGTCTGGTTGCCAAGTAACTTAGACTGGTTGTCAGTGAAAAGAATACGATGACAGGGTGGATCTTGCGAATGAGAAAGCGATAGATAATGGTGCGATTGTAGATCCCCTCTAGTGTTTCTATTCTATCCAACATTGACCTTGATATTGGTCTTGTCATAAAGCATAGGTTGATAGGTGACTGGTCTTCTATTACACGAAACCATCGGTCGATGATGCTGGAAGCCTCTTCATGAGAAGGCATTTGAATTAAAAGTAAAGGGAAAAATATGTGCGATAATAATAAAATTGGTGTCGCTTTTTGAAATCTCTTATCGCATGTGAAAGCTTACTCGCATGATTGAATCTTTTTGTCAATTAGAAGCAAAGTAAGAATGAAGTAGTTTTATCTCAATATTGATTGACTTATCTCAAAAATAAGTTCAGACCACCATGTCTTCTTTTTATTGGGTAATCATCAGTTTAACATAATAAAACATATGCAGTTACAGTAAGAACCGCCGTATGACAATCTACTATGGACACATTAAAATAAAAGCAAGATCTAATGTATAGATTCAATTCCTCTTTTTTGATGATCAAATTGCTTGTGAAGCTCTCTTTAACTATGGTTTTTTTTTATTACCCCTTGAAGGGTTGTCTAAATTGAAACAGCGCCTTAAGAAAAAAAAAAAAAGAAAAAACACTGACAGGTCAAAAAAAATTACCCTTTCATTCTTTTGACAGCCCCATGTTGCGTCGTATACTTGGATCAACCCTCTTAAAGACGAAATCACCTTTTGTACCTCAATTGCTACCTATTTGCTTTCAACAACAACGTTTTGCAGTAAGAAAGAATGAAATAAAAAAAAAGAATGATGGACTGATGCTATATATTCCTCCCTAGGGTCACAACAAATGGAGTAAAGTGAAGCATGTCAAGGGAGCAAAAGATGCCAAAAAGAGTTTATTATATTCTAAAATATCACTCGAAATCGTTTCAGCTGCAAAGACAGGAGGACCTGACCCTTTGTTAAATAACCGACTCGCTGCTGCACTGAACAGAGCCAAGGCAGCCAGTATGCCAAAGGATAGTATTGAAAATGCATTAAAGAAGGTAAATACGATAGAGTCTTACCGATTAGGGACTTCATCTGTATATTATAGGCAACAGACAAAAATAAGGATGACCTTGAACATGTACAGTACGAATGTATGGGTCCAGGAGGTATTGCGCTTATTGTGTAAGTTCCCTGATTTGTATTTTATGTGAATGGATCACTTAAATGTGTCTTAGTGAGGCTCTGACTGATAAGAAATCACGCACGGTAAAAGAAGTGAAGGAAGTCATCAATCGAGTAGGTGGTTCAGTTTCCTCTGTAGGCTACTTGTTTGAGAAAAAGGGACGAGTTGTGTTCACACCAGGAGAATCCAATCATTCGTTTGAACAGATCATGGATGTTGCAATTGAGTCAGGTGTGGAGGATATTGAAGAAGGAGAGGATAACCTGATTGAAATCACCTGCGAGTTTCCTGAACTGAACTCGGTCTCAAAGACACTGATGAATCAAAAATACGAAGTACAGCAGATTGAGGCAACGTATGTTCCAACCAGTGTGGTGGAAGTGAATGATAAGGAAACAGTGGAGTTGGTGACAAAATGTTTAGAAGATATGGAAGACCTACAAGATGTTGTAAAAGTACATACAAATGCAGTTGTTCAAAACTGATTTATTTAATAATAAAATATGCTTAAAAGTATTGTCCTAATGATCCTTCTTTTCGTAATTCTGGATGGTTAGCCACAACATAGTAAGTATGCAATAGCAAATGAGGGAATCTTGCTGTAAAGTAATACAAGAATTGATTCGGTGGCTCTCCATAGACCTTTTTCACTTGATCTGGTAAATCTTGCCAGTGATGTTTCTTTACAAAGGGATTAACAAAAAATTACCTGATTATTATAGTTTATGCCTTACCTTATTCCGTAGAGCTCTTAATAGATCTCTTACTCGCTTACCATCGTACTTTCTAAACTTGCCTAAATCATTGGCTACCACACGATCAATCCTTCGATACCAATCTCCTCCAATCACTTTGTCTGCGCCAGATTCCAGCTCTAGCAACAACGGAGAAGGTGGGTCACGTTCCTCAACCTCAAATCGATCCGATGCATCTTGTAAAAATGAAAGCCGCTTAGACGTAGTCCAAAAGAATGGATGTGACAGAATAGCATCTGCTGTTGGTCTAAAATATGCATTGGTTAGCAATAGAAGAGGACTAACTACAGAGCTGCATACCTTGCTTTAGGGTCAGTTGATATCATTCGTTCCACCAAATCCTTTGCTTCTACTCCATCTTCACCCATAGAATCCAACTTGCTCAGGTCATATATGTTGTTTAATATATTATTTTCCCGTCCAAACCGATTACCAAATGGATGATCACCTCGGCTGAGCACATAATAAAACACACAGCCTGCCGAAAATATATCGATCGCTCGCGTGGCCTTCACGCGACGACCCATCATCATATTTGGATCCGTTACGAGTGATGACGAGCTATTGCTTGTATCCGAGATCTCCGTTGCCAGTGCACCTGCCAGTAACTCAGGTGCTCTCCAGCCTGATGTGCCTGCAGGTGATGCTGCCGTGTAATTAAAACTGCTCTGCTCTCCGTCCAGCTTCTTGCAGAGTCCAAAATCAGAGATAAGAATACGCATGGATGATGCGTGTTTGGTTCGGTGCTTGGTAGGTGCCAGAAGAATATTATGCGGCTTGATATCACGATGCACGATTTTGAGAGAATGCAGGTACTGAAGTCCACTGGTGATTTGGAAAAGAATATCGGCTGGATTCATGGCATCGCATAATTGCAAATTTGTAATTGATAAGGTGCGCTCCATGTAGTCATTCAGCGAGCCATAGCAGAGTTCGAGTGCAATATACAAGAACCGATCGGATTGCTCCTTGTAAAAATATCGGACCACGTTCGGATGGTCGTCACTTTCCTGCAAGAGCTGGACTTCTTTTAATGCAACGTCATAGAAATCGACCAAGAGTCTCTTGACGGCTACGTCTCTACCGTCAAATTTGCCTTTATATACTACTGTACCATGACTTCCATAACCTACAGAATATACGAGCGTAAGATGACATTTGATCTTAAAGCGAGAACTTACCAAGTACGGTTTCTGATATTTCCAATACTGTTGACTTGGATTGTTTAAAGTTTTCAAGATCCAATCCATTAGATACAGTTTTAACTACTGCAATTTTTGTTTCTGCTTGTGGTGCCTTCGTTTCCTCCTCCTTCTTTTCCTTTCGCTCATCGTTTTCTGTCTTCTCTTGGTCTGTCTTGGCTTTTTCTTCTTGCTCATTTGATATCTTGATTCCACTACTACTACCTTGTTTTAATATCTCAACACTGCCCATCGTGATACTCTTTCTGACTCGTTTAATCTTTTCTTTTTGTTCTTGAATGGCAGCAGCGATTCTAGCCTTTGTCTTTTTCACCTTGGCCTTCTTCTTTTGGATTTGCTTCCATTTGGGAAGCACCTTGACTTCATAGAACGTGACCATGCGGTCTCGATAGACGTAAACAAACACAGCGCCGACAAGCATATAACTCTTCCAGAACTTGCCAAAGCCATTATAAAAGAACCCTGTCTTGGTCTCGCGGTGAACATATCCATCTCTCATCTCGTCCTGGTCTGAGTCATCCGTGTGGTCGTCCTGGTCGGTATCTTCGTCATCAAAGGTCAGTTTCTGATAAGGAGAATCAATGACGGTGTTTTGGACGACATGTTGACCAATGATACACTTGATGTGATTTTGGCAGCCACGACAACAGCTAGGGTGAGGCTGCACCTGTGTCCATTCAGCTTGCGAGGTATTCGGTAGGGGCCCGTCAATTGTCAGATTCGGAAGTTCATCCGGGCTTCGGCCGGTGTACATGGAGGACCACTCAGAGAGTTGCATCAATGGATAATACTTGGTCGACATGGCGTACAAGCTGTCTTCGTGGACGCCAACATAGGCAGTGACAAGATCCCTTGATCTGTTCCTGAGTCGAAGTACATTGCCTATGATGCTTCTGTCTAATGAGATAGGCGGTTCATGTTTACAAAGTACGATACTATCTGCTTGACGATAGACATCAAATACACCAACGACGGGATAGGGTAGATCTTTTGCCCACCCTTTTTTGCCTAAATTGAAACAATAAGTACGTCTCTTTTTTATGAGCCATATTTTCCTTGACTTTACCAGTTAGCACATTGAAGGCCATAATGGATCGATCGGTACCAGGTGTGATATAGATATCAGAGGAGGCTTTGCTCAGAGGTATATCATTGTCTAATCTGTTGGGTATGTATTCACTGTATGTTATGTTTAATAATTTACGGCTGTTATCATCATAAATGACTACTTTATATTCTGTATAAAGAGAAGATGAGTCAAAGTGAATAAAACAATGGCTATTAAAATACCATTTCTGCCAATAAAAATCGTTCCAGGGCCTAGTTTCTTTCTAGACAAAATATGACTATAGCCTTGTTTGCTAGAATCAAACTGCTGTAATATTTTCCCTGTTCGAGGATCGATAGCAATCATGACTGTATTTTTTCCGCCAATGTAGTTGATACCATCTGCTGTACGAATGGGTGCTTTATCTGCAATATCTTTAATTGAAAAAGGAAGTTTCTATAGTAACAAATGAATATGAACATATATATTAAGTGTTTGTATATTCAGTATTTTACCTTGAGTGGTCTTCCATCACCATAAATATACAAGTTGCCACCGTCTTGTGGCTCAATAATATAATATACATCTTGTTGCAAGTCTTTATCATCTTCTTTTATGCTGTCATCGACTTTGCTTTTCTTGTTTTTAATTTTAAGAATATCGTTTTCTTGAACCTCGGGTTCATGTACTTCTGGTACAAAATCATTAAACAATCCACTATATCCTTCTTCATTATAATCATCGTCGTCGTCATCGTCGTCGTCACTATCGTCATACAGTTTCATCTCGTGCGTTTTAAACTGAGAGTCTGCTTTAATCAATGAACTTCTTTGTCCGCCTTGTAAAGTCCAATAAGACGTTCCGTCATATCTGTCCATGCCTCGTATTGAACCATCCAAAGTGAAGACAAGGATAAGGTCTGTCGGTAATAATTCTGCTTCCTTTTGTATAGGTGACTCAAGCAAGTGTGGTTTTGAATAAGGTTCAAGTTCATAATGAGACTTGCATTCGACACAATAGATTGCCAAGAGAGAAAGGAGTATTAAGGCAGAAAAGGTAAACCAATGAAATAAAGAATGAGTACTTGTCCTGAAAGATCTAACCATTAGCACCATCCATAGACAAACTATACACACACACTTTTTTTAATATAAAAAAAAATAGAAAAAAAAAAAAGAAAGACTTGGAAAAAAAAAAGATTTTTTATTATGTTTGTGTGTGCGCTTAAAGATGGGCGCACATGTGAGAATGAGCGGAGATGCTTTACTTATTGTCTCTGCTGCTGTTGTTCTGGTTGTTGTTGGTCATCACGCCTATCATCATAGCTGCGGTAGTCTCTTCTAGGACGTCTGTCATAACGTTGTTCATCACGATAAGGGGATCTTGCACGGCGGTCATCTCTACGATATCTGTTTTCTTTAAAGAGAAAAAGAGTGTAAGATATATATGTGTGTATACATTCATTCACTTACCAAGTCAAATAAAAATGAACCAAGCACAGAAGAGATGAGGATAATATATATATATACAAAATAATGGCATTGGGTCAGGGCACATCGTTCTCTCTCTTTTTTCATTCTCTCTTCTTGAGAATCGGTATAAGCAAAAAGGTTCTCTCTCTCAGCATATTATGCTTTGGGGGGGCTTCATTTTACTTGGTACTGATGCCCAAAAAGAAAGCTCATTTTTTAATATACCTTCTATCATAGGGTCTTGGGCGGTATCTTTGACGACTACGATCTTTACAATCTCTTGCAAAATGACCTACAATAATGTAAGCTATCTATTTTTATACATATTATTTTCATGAGAAAAAAAAAACAAACTTGCCTGATTTTCCGCAGTGATAACATTCATTATCGGATGGTCTCTTACCACCGTTCTTGGCCCATTCAACCACAAGTTCCTAAAGGGGGTGACAATAATTTATATGCAAAGGACAAACAGGGGGGACTTATGTGGACTTTACGGCAATAGATTCGTGCATTCCTTTCATGGCATCTTCAGCATCACGTTTGTCATCAAACTCTACAAAACCAAATCCCTCTAGAGATGTACCAGATTAGAACCAATCATTGTAATCTCTATAATAAAAACAAACCTCTCTTGACTTCAAAGCGAGTAATCTTGCCATATTTTGAGAAGGCATCTTCAAGTTCACGCTAACGGAATGATATATATACATACATATTTCTAGAAAGTGGAAAGGAAAGGGCTATTTACATTGTTCATATCTCTTGGGATTCTAGCAACAAAGAGGGCCATATTGATTATTATTATTTTTTTAAAGAAAGAAAAAAGGGAAAAAAATATAAAAAAGAAAAAAATTCTTATCCCCGTTCTTGATACATTTTATATGTTGTGTGACCTAATCAAGTGTGCTAGATAAATAGTGAAAGGATATGAAGAGAGAGAGAGTCATGTACGAAAGGGATCTTGTGTCTATATAAGCTCTTATTCTTTTTCTTTTTCTTTTTCTTTTTTTTTATATTTATCGGCTTAGTTTCGGCTTAAAGATGTACGAAGGATGGTTATTTGTGTCTATGTCTTGTCTCTCTTGTATTTTGGGAGCAAGTATTGTGTTCATTGGTGAAAGAGTCTTGGAAAACAAACGGTTCCTCTCAGGATCTATGGCATTAGGAGCAGGGGCTCTATTCTGCAATGTTCAATTTAACTTGTTACCAACCGCCTATCAAAAATTAGGTTTGTTGCCTGTCGTCGGATGGTTTCTGATAGGCGTTCTGGGTAGCATTTGCACCAACCAATTGATTCATTATTGTACTCCGCACGCTCTTCACACCTGCGATTTACCCGTAAAGAGTTATGGGACTATAGATGAAGAATCATTAGAACATTCGGATAAAGAAAACTATTACTTGATTGGTATACAGACGGCCGTTGCTATTTGCATACACAAGTTCCCAGGTTAGCTATTGAAATTGGACTTGATATACAGTTTAATGACTTTCTTCTAATTAGAGGGATTAATCATGTTTGTGTCTAATGAATCATCCGGCCAATTAGGTTTACGTGTTGCCGTTGCTATGATGATTCATAACGCAATTGAAGGCTTACTGATCGCATTACCACTTTATTATGCAGTTGGATCTCAGTTAACTGCATTTGGTTATGCAGCCGTTTTGGGTGGTCTGTCATTACCCATAGGTGCATTAATAGGATACATTGCAGTCACTGGTGTAGATAAAGCACGGGAAGATGCATTATTTGGTATATTGTTTAGCTTGATTAGCGGAATGATGTATATGGTCGTATTCAAGGTAATTGTTAATTAAAATACATCATGTTGCTTATCTTTGTCATTCTAGAATATGCTACCAGAAGCAATCAAGTCAAGACCGAATAATGTCTTTGTTCTCATTTTCTTTATTTTGGGTCTTGGTCTAATCGAAACCATTTCTTTACTTCAATCTGCTTGATGCAGTCCCCCTTTTACCCCCCTTGCTTTATTTCTTTATTTATTTTATTAATGTATAAGCATATTACATAGAAATAAAGGTTATGAATTTTATTATCATCTTTATAACTAAATATTTACACACGCACGCATACAAACATGTATGCGGGATCAGTTTACATCCCTACAAAAAAGTAAAAGTGGCGCACATCATATATATTCTCCTTTTATATAAATTATCATCATTGCATAAAGTCACCTTGATCACTTCCCCCTCCTCCTCCTATCCCCTTCTTCTCCTCCTCCGCGCATTAAAAAAAAATCTTAAATAGGTGAAGTTTATTATCATGCTCTTTTTTTTCTCTTTATAATTTTTTTCTTTTTCTTTTTTGTCACTTTTTTGTATACATATATATATGCCATTCTTGTCATATCTCGTACGTCGTACACAGCAACATAACCAAGCCAAACAACAACAACAACAACAAAGTCAAACCAAGCGGTCAGTTACTATGCCCACTATAAAAAAGAAGAAAGAGATTGGCGATTATATCTTGGGAAGAACGATTGGTCGTGGAGCATCGGGTACGAACTCAATTTTTAACTCCCTTTCTGATGTTTTGAAAAATCTAATAACCAACCAATAGGCAGAGTGAAGCTGGGTATTCATAAGCAGACAGGTGAAAAGGTCGCCATCAAGTTAATTTCGAGAAGTCAGTTATTGGCTTCATCCACTACATCTAAATCAGTACAAAGAGAACTAGCTGTTCTACAGCTATTACATCACCCTCACCTCGTTGATTTACATCAAGTCCTTCAAGACACAAGTTATGTTTATTTTGTAATGGAGTATTTAGAAGGTGGCGAACTATTTCATTATTTGGCCGAAAGAGGAAGATTGCAAGAATCAGAGGCTAGAATGTTATTTGTTCAGTTAGTGACAGCATTGAACTGGTGTCACGCCCATCATATTAGGTAAGTGTGGTTATCGATTCCCTTTTTCGTCGCTCACACCGCTTATGCAGTCACCGTGATCTAAAGCCTGAGAATCTCTTGCTGGATAAAGATAAGCAGACTCTAAAGATAGCTGATTTTGGAATGGCTGCACTTCAACCCTTTAATACATTATTAAAAACAAGCTGCGGGTAAGCAAGAGTTACGTACGCACATGCATAAACAGATGTTTGACTAAAAATGGAATATTGTATGTATAGATCCCCTCACTATGCAAGCCCTGAAATTGTGAGAGTAAGTTAAAAATAGAATAAAACAAAGTTTATTGAATATTGACACACATTTCCTTTTTAATAGGGTAAACGATACCATGGTCCAGCAACAGATGTGTGGTCCTGCGGAGTCATTCTCTATGCTATGGTGACAGGTCACTTACCCTTTGATGATGAACACATGGGCAGACTATTAACAAAGATAAAGACGGGAAGATATCGTAGTTTACCAGACTATCTATCGGTTGATATCAAGGATCTCATCAAACGTATGCTCGTTGTTGACCCACATCATAGAATGACCGTAAGTTTTGTTACTTGTAAATAATAATTCGCTCCAACTATTATTATTGTAGATGCCGGAAATCATGGCTCACCCTTGGTTAACCAACAAATCCTTTTTGGGAACAGAATTGAGATTTATTCATCCAAACAAAGAACAATTCAAATTATACCCACTTAATGATCCCGAATTACAAAAGCCAATATATACCTCGGAACTAGAAGGTAGAATTTGGGAGACATTGAAGGTCCTGTGGAGAGATAAGACAGAACAAGAGTTACTCGATGCCTTATCATCAGAAAGGTAATTGACTCTTAAATTATCCATTTGTTATTTGTTTACTCATTTTTATATCTATAGAACCAATGTACAAAAACTGACATGTAAATTACTTCAAGAAAGGTCCTTTCGATTAGAACAGCAATATTATAATACTAGTGAGTAGCTGTTTGAAAAAAAAAAAGAATAATATAACTCATATGATGAACATAGGCTCAGTCAGCTTACCTTTACGGAGGGCTTCCGTCGTTACAACAGAGGAGAATATCCCGATGACCCCACCTTTAAGAAAAGAAAGCATCGATTCTTACATGCATGACTCATTTTCATTTGATACTGTATCCTATTGTCACTTACCTCCAACCCCCAAGAGCACTTCTTCGGCTTACCTTCAAGAACCCCACAACATTCTTAGCATCCTGCAGCAGCACGACTCGATCAAGGCCGATGCAGCTGATTTGTTCATCATGACCAAAGCGATAGAGAGCACCGTGCTCAATCCTGTTTCCAAGAATATATGGAAAATGTGTTCAAAAGAACCAGTAGAAGTCTCCTGGTGGGAAAAGACGTGCGATTACTTTAAACGCAAGTCACCAGAAAAGGTATAAAGGTCATGTTATCTGCGCGGCTGATCTCTAAACATTAACAAATAGGCTATTGCGATTGAATGTTTAGCTAAACATGAATGTGAAGTGGCTGGTAAGCTACATCAGGTGCTTGAAGAGGTAAGAGCTTTCCTTGTTTTGCTTATAGTCTCCTAATACTCCTTACAAGTGTTTTAGAGGTAAATTAAGTGGACGTATGTACCCCTCTGAGAAGATAGTTTGGAATGGAATGATGAAAACAACCACAGATAATACGTTCTACTTTATTTGTCACATGACTAAAACAAGTTTAATTGAACCTAGAATGAAGATTGAATTCACACTTGCTGAAGGTAATTGAATATACATATTTCTTAAAGCCGTATCCTAAGACCATTTATATAGGTGATCTTTATCAATTTGAGTCAAGCATAAAGGACTTGATCTATTGTTTGAATAAATATGAAAATGAATCTGATTGGGTGACTAGAGTCAATGGCTGGACAGCAGAAATCATTTAATCTATCATTTTATAGTTGTATACCCCCTTTTTTTTCATTCATTGTTTTTAGAATAATTACCCTTTTTTTACATAATAAATGGTTTTTATATTTTGCAGGCCAAAAAGATGATTTAAACGCGCTTTGTTGTAGTTCTTTTTATTAAACCCCGTTTTTTTATAACGCCTTTCTCTCCTCCCTCCTTTTTTTTGTTTTGGTTGACATATATCAGATCTATTTCTGTACTACTTGTTTATTTACATTAAGTAATTGACTGACTTTCCACATAAAGGGAGGGGGACATATAATATTACTCGAATAGGATAAAATATTAAAATAGTAATAAAGGAGGGGGCGGCAAGATTTTATAATAAACTAGTCGCTAAATACTTTAAACATATTAGAAATTTGACAAGCTAATGTCATGTAATCACTTACTACAACGATTGTTTGATCATCACCATAGACCCTAAGTTTCTCTTGAAGAAATCTTCTTCCCCTTCGTTCAATCAAAGATACTCCATCTGGACCTACTTGTTCCTGTTTTCTCCCATGTGAATACTCCTCTATACCATTTTCCTCTTCCTCTTCCTCTTCCTCATCCCCCTCAAATAACGCATGATCATCTGCGGTAAGTTCTTGATGAAGCAAATTACGATCTGATATACCACTATGATTACTGCCACAGCTACTCATACTATAAATTGTCGACACGCTATTTCGCCTTGGGCGTTGATGAAACAGGTCTGCAAGTGGCAAAGTTGATTGCTGCTCCTGCATCAGACGATGCGGTGTAACGGTCTCTTGATTGTCCTCTGAATAATCTTCATCTTCTTGATCCTCATGTTTCTTCAAGTAACTGAGCAGTCGCTGGCTCCATTTCCTGCTGAGCGTCGTACTGCTGCTACTGACCGTACTGCTACCTGCTTCAGAATTATTATCGGATGTGTACCCCTTTTGGGTGTGATGGCTGCTTTTAATATTTTCCAGCTGGAATTCATCCAATGCATACAAATGATGATAGATAAATGCCTTGAGAGAAATCGTCATAAACATGGTATGTAAATAAGCTAAATAAGAGGCATCTGTCTACTAATGATATCAGTTATTCATGCACAGTTGAACAAAAAAAAAAGGCAACTTACTGAAAATAACGTCATCCGATCAAGAAATTGATGGATCCAGTATCCTTCGACGTACACAGGACTAGAGTGCAATGACCCATTCTTTGCATCCACATCAAACACGCAGCTGCTGCTCTCGATATGAACCATGCTCGAGCTCACTTTGGATTTATCCATACCTACAAGCTTAATGCTATCTATATGCGTCAGCGCCTCTTCTTCAAGCCAGCCAATAATCTGGTGCCTTTTTCGACTTTGTCCAGGTACAAAAACGGATAATGCTCGAACGACCTCCTGAACGTGTCTTTTTATACAGTGAGATTAAAAGTGAGTTAAAATTGTGATCATTCTTACTCTTTATTTTCGAGGCTGCCTTGAACAATGACAATCCTGCCTGTCATTAATGAAAAAATCACATCTACGATGATAGGTTTGTATCGGTAAAGCGTTTTTAACAATTTGATGTCATCCTGCGTTTGATTCCATAGCTGTGATGCAGTGAACAAAATAGGATAGATGTCAGAATCACTGCTTGCTAATGGTGCAGAGCTAGATGCTATGGGTTCCTAATGAACAATAGTATGAATGACTATAGCTGAAACCTCATGTGCATATACTTATACCTTGTAGGATTCTTGCCTTTTTTTTGTTTGAATAAAAGAAAAGATTAAATTCTCTTTTGTGTAAATATATAAAAGACTTACTCCCTTGGCTGTGGGTTCTCGAGATTCAACATGAACGTTCTTCCAATGGTTAACACCGATGACACAGGTTCAACAAACGATTCTTCTTCTTCCAAGTCAAGAACAATAGAACTCTGACCTATATACCGAGTTGTTTCCTGAATATACCGTATTGCCTCATCATACATGTCATGCATGACTGAACTCGAAAACGTCAGCCTTTCCTGCGGCGGTGAAGAAAAGGAAGGTTCCATCATGGAGTATACCAGCGGAATAACCTTGTTGGATTGCCGACAAAGTTGAGCTAAAGATCGAAGCTTGCGTTCAAAGTTGGGAACAGGGTAAAGGGTATCAATGCAGACGGGTTTGTAATCACCAGGTGGTTCGATCGCGTTGTAGGATCCTTCGAGAGTATCGATAATGTATTTGATTACTGTTGCTGCCTGGTCAATTGCTTCCTTTGACAGGCGCTTTGTGGCTAGTTTGGTGTATTCTAAGTCAAGTAATCGACATTTTAGGTCAAGCATAAAGTTGGCATAGTTGCCTCGTTTCAGGTGACTCGAGGCTCGACTGAACCGGCCCATGAGATCTTCAAATTTGAGCATCATTTTGCTTGAATCTCTTGTTATGTATGAAAGGGCGACTGGGTGTACGTATCCTCTTGCATGAATGTCAAATAACGTTAAATGATGTGTCTTTTTGTTACACACGTTAACCATATATATATGTCGAAAACTTGGTCACTTTAACTTACAAATGCGGAATATTGATGCTCTGTATCTGTAAAGTATACTTGGGTATCATCAGGAATTGAAAACGTCTCGGATTTTCTATACAAAAAGGAGATCATTAGCGTATATATATATATATATACTTGATGGATCGTCTTACTCTTCTCCTGGGCCTCTATCAACCGAGACAACCCGAAGAGCAAATGCGTTTAAATCAAAATTCTGCAGTCCAAGCGTCTTTAATTTGGATGCATCTTGTTTTAGATCAATACACTCGTCTTGACTAATGATGGCTAAGGGTAAAGGACCTTCTAGTTCTGAAAATTCGCTCACAAGTACAAAATCGTTATAGAACCTTTTGAACACAAATACATAAACATAAACATGTATACATTAAACTGAACCTTAACGTACGATAAATTACTTTGTTGAGACATAAAAGAAAGAATGAAAGAGAGATGCAGTGTTGAAAAAATGGAAGCAGTCCTTGAATTTTAATTGGGGGAATAGCTCTAAATACCCGAAAAAGGGTATCCGAGGTCCGCTCACCACACAAAGAAAAAAGTCCGACATCAACTTTCCAATTGTGTCGAACCATCGAATAGTTTGTTTAAAGCATCTTCTTTCTTGATGGTTCTTGAGAACAAAGGATGACCATAGCTTGTAACCATCTTGAACACAATCCAGTTTTCATAATATTAATTACTACATTGATTCCTCGGTTTCTTGCAGCAAATGTATTCTGGTGTCCAATGCAGTCAGGATTGATACAAACGGCTATACCAAGGTTGGCCTTACCATTGCTCTTCTTTGGGTGAACGATTGACTCGTCACATATTCAGCAGAGTTTTGATGATCGCTATTTATAAGGCGAAATGACGACTGGTCTGCTGGAAAGAGACTTGTATAAAACATCTGTACTTCTTCTTTTGTACCTTTTTATGAACGAGGTATGTCCTCTGCCAGACATCTCATAGAAAACAACATTTTTTTCTGGATCTGTATTACTAACCGTTTTCTTTGCTGAAAGACTGTATGCTTTGTATCCGAACATTGTTTTACTGGTTTCACTTTTTACGTCTTGCCCAACTTGCATGGCAGTAATATTACAGCATTCTTTCTCTTACTTCTTTGTACAACTGATGCTTCTTGATTACCAGGTACTTGCTGCTTTTTACTTTCACTGTGTCGACCATATGAGCGAGCTTGATCTCTAAAGAAGTGCGAGGCTTAGCAGAAAACACTTTCGCTGTAACAGCCTTTTTGCGAAGTTTCATTAAAGTCTGCAGCCTTGTTTTTTTCCCTCTTCAGTCTTGAAATAATACAATAAACTCGGATGCCCAAGAGAAAAGGCATAAACATGAAATGAGATCTTTTGGATACATTTGGACATAAGTTGCCACTGTACGGAAGCCTGAGCTAACACCGTAAAACATCATGTTACCCAGGTTGTCAGATAGATTTTTCGTTTGTGGCCATTGATATGATTCTGCTGCATCTTCGCTTGGGAGCAGTGACTTACAAAGGCTCGTCTTTTCATTCTTGCATTCCATGATAGGGGTATTTAGCAAGACATCAGATACAATCCTCTGTCTTTTTTTTTTAAAGCATTTAATATACTTTGATTATTGTCTTTGAGAACAACCTAAAGAGGTGTGTGATCATTTTTATACCCTTTGTTTGTTTGTTGTTGTTGCTCTATGTTTACTTTCTTCTTTTGTGTTTGAGGCCTTTGATCGACGAAAAGCTGGTCATGCACGCTCTTCTTATTTTCCTTTGTTACGGTATATAGACCACTAGACATCGTCTGTGCATTAACTTAAACCACAGCTCTTTTGTTCCTTGAGTGCACGACTGGTACACAGTGAAATAGAACAAGTATAAGTGATTCAGTTTATTGAATTTAATAAAAGAAAAGCCTTTATTTGACTATAAGAATTGTACCATCAATTTACAAAAGCACTAGAAGGTTAAACCTCTTTTATTTTTCAGTCCATAGTCCTTTTTGTAGACTGCTAATGAATTTGCGTTCATCAAAGAATACGCCTTGTCTTTTTTGCTATTAAACCCATCGAGAACATTTGCCAGTTCTGGATGCATTTGCCGTTGCCCTTCAAGATGAGCAACATCACTAACTGCATTTTTCTGCCATCCTTCAAACAGTGACACGTACATATGGCAAAATTCGCCTTTGAAAGCATTGCAAGATACATGAGAGCGCGAGAACACTTTAGGATCTCCCAAAAGAACCAAGCGTTTCCACATGCCGGTCAACGACAGTGTGCATCAAGACTGATTCCATAATCTCTGGTTTACACAAATAAAAAGATACAACTGAAAGTTTTTGTTTACTCATCACCCATTTCCAGGTATCTACCTCGCCGGCAGACTTGCGACAAATGCTTCGCTGTAGTCTTGATCCATAAACTATTGGCAACTTTCTTTTAGGATAGTATGCATTAGAGACATAGATGGTCGATTATAAGAAAGAAAGGCAAAGGAAGTATGGAAAGCAATGAGCAAATTTATTTAAACTTGTCAATTGTTGATTAATCCTATCGACAACATTTTTCATTAGGCCTTTAAACACAGAGAGAGAAAGATACCTTTTCAAAAATTGTCTCCGTCTTCTCGTCAAGTATCCTATTCAAAGGGAGTAGATGCTTACCTTGTGTCTATCAAATGTTTCTTTGAGATCATATTGAGGTAGGCTTGAATGCTATCTTTTACATAGTACTTGACAACAAAACAGTAGGTAATTTTACTCTTGTTTCAACCTATTTGTATAATATCAAAGTTAAGCTACCCTTCTGCAGACGGTCCTGGTGTAAAGGACTTATCGACTTCTAGTCCATGTTTGCTTCAACTTTCTCACGAATCTGTCTACAGATGTTCTGATCCAGAAAACTCGAATCAACGAAGGCACTTGTTTCCCAGGCTCGTTTGATATGCCAGTGACGTAAAGATATATTTGTATTGGGGAAGGCTAGAGAAATTGCTTGTATCACGGCTTGGCTACAACTTACCATTATTCGTTTTACTACCTAATTAATGTAAACCATTCAGCAAGAATTTTGGTAGCTTCTTTATCAGAAACACACAGGGACGCCTTCATAGTGACTTTGTTAATAATAACGATGGCGAACAAGCAAGTATTACAATCAGAATTAACAGGATACTTACAGGCTTTATATGCGCTATTAACACAGCATATTCTTCAACATCTTCAAGTAACTAGGGATAAAGCATGTTAGTATCTTGATTTGTGTCTGTTTGACAAACGCATACGTATCTTTTCTTTACCTGTTTGGTAATCTACGAAACAATAAAAGGACAATTTGGAGGTTTAAAGGTATCGGCGCCGTCAATGATAATATTATTATCGATGACTGCTCTTGGTTCTTTTTGGCCTCGCCTGATCAGCCTTTACCTCTGCTTTGCTTGACTATGTGAATGGATAATCTATTTGTTATAACAATTTCCAGACCAAAACACTTTAGCTTTGTGTCTTTTTTTTGTTCCCTTCAGAGCAGCCCATTCGAGATCGCGCAGATGATCACCGACTATCGAATTGTACCTGTGTGATTATGAATAGATAAGAAATAATTTTGAAAGATCCAATGTTTTACTCAACTTTACCAATAAGTCGACGGTAAACAAAGTAGTAAAGAAAAGGTATGCAAATTATTATTAAAGTGAGTTCATGACTGTCATTTACATGTATTGTGGTCATCTGATGCACGATAAACAAGTAGAGAGTAAAATATACGCTGCTCTCTAAGCTCTGTCATAAAGATCTTCAATTATTCGCGCCTTTTAAAATTTTTTGATGTGTGCTGATCCTCCTTAAGGACTGATTCCGATAGGCGCACATATTTTTTTAACCTTTTTTAATAGTCCAATAAAGAGCCACACAAAGAAAGCCTCTTTCTATATTGTAAAAAGGATAGAAGCTTTCCATGCCTCAGGTAAAATAAATAAAGGAATACAATAATCAAGACTTACAATCTCCTCTTTTATACAGCAACCAACTTTGCCGTTTTTTAGGCAAAAACGCATCATCTCAAGTCTCAATGTACCTCGTCGGTACCAATTACCGGTAGCCATTCTAAGAGCACTTAGTTTCCTACCTGCCTTATTTTATACATATCACTATTGGAAAGCAGCTAGTCTGATCCCTTTACGAGATTCAGGTGGTCCAAGACTCATCCAGATAACACAAGCTGAATATTATGTAGCCATACTTTGGGTAAAAAAAAGAAAAAAGAGTATATAAACCAGTGAGGTACTTAACAGTTTTGTGTAGGCATTACTATCAGGCTATTGGAGTTGGATATTAACAACAAGCATGTTGAGTCGATGGTTATACCATTATGAGATAAAGCACGCCATCATTCGTCTACTGACACTTACCCTCAGTACCTGCTGCCTTTCGGGAATCATCAACTCTTGCATGTCAGATCCTGTCAAGACTCAACTTACACTCTGTGTGATTCTCTTTGTTTCCAATATTCTCAAACTCATCTTTGCTTCAAGTCCAAAGTATAGTCAGAAACTCGAGGATGCCTTACCGACAAACCCGCATTATAAGAGCACGACAGCACTCAACATACTGCTGCTACCATTTTTGGTTGTATTGACATACTCTGCGTTTGTCTTGACAGGCCAAGTGCATCGATTTGAATATACATCCAACTTGCTGATGAAAGAGACCTTTGGATTGGATAGCGCCGTTACAGCTACTACTCAAAACATCTTGATCCTCATTTTGTCTTCATGGGATAGTGCAGATAAAAGACGTGTGTTGAGAGAAACAACATTGAAGTGGATTGATAGACCTCAACAAGTAGTCTATCGATTTGTTATCGGACAACCGCCTTCACCTTCTTATGCATGGAACACAGTGCTTGAAGAATCTGAAAAGTATCATGATCTATTAATGGTACCCACTTCTGATTTAAAGAATGGCAAGAGCCATAAACTGTTTGAAGCACTGAGATGGTCATCAGGCGTAAACTATGACTATTTGATCAAGACGGATGATGATGTGTTTGTCAGATGGGACATCGTTTGCAGTGAATTAAATGAGCCCAAAGATAACTACTGGAAAGGCTTTGTTTACAGGTATAAATCAACAAAACGGTGACATGATTATAAAATAACTCCTTTGGAATATAGAAATCTTCCTGTGGACTATTATAGAAAGGATATAAAATTAGATTATGGAATGCCTATTTTACCACCATTTACATCTGGCACACTTTATACCCTCTCTCGCAATCTTGTTCATGCTATTACTGCCATTGATTATCCACAACGATTTATTAAGGAAATGGATGATATCAATTTACCCATGTGGTTATTTGGTTTTGATATACAACCAATTCATGACAAGCGCATCCAGAGCACAGACGAGGACGTGTGTGAGGAAACGATGATTGCAAAACGATTTTACAAAAACTTTGAAAAGAGTGTTAAAAAGATGTACAGTAACTTGCTTCATGAAGAACCCCAATGTGTCGGAATGAACCCACAACGCCGTTGCGCGCTCTGTTATCCTTGTCATGCAAAGAGCAACGACTGGAGATCCAAAAACTGGGCTTGTGATCCCGATCGCGGTGCCTCTTTGATCAACCTTCCAGATTACAAAAAGATCCCCGGACCCAAGGTAAAGGACGATATGGAACCTGCTGTGATTGGAAAAAACGATCAGTGGATCATCAAGGATATCTTATCGGCAAAGACATCCATCTACACCGACACAGACAACTGGCATTTACTCTATTGGGTCTGTTGGACTAGTGACCCTTCGACCTTCACTGACAGACATTGGCGCGCACTGGAAATGGTATGGATTCATGAACCGGAAGCTGCAATCATCATGATGTCCAACTCGCTTCCTGAAAACTTCTTTAATGATTATGTACGACGCGGATACAACATTCAAGTTGTCAATTTCAACAAGGAAAACCTGTTGAAATGGCGTTGGTACTTTGGCCCTGGTACACAAGACTGGCTTCAAGAATGGGAACGCTGGGAAAAGGGTAAGCATTTTTACTGGCATCTGACAGACTATATTCGTTGTCTTTTGCTTTATAATTATGGTGGCACCTATATGGACATGGATGCTCTCTGGATTCGTATTCCTCCCAATTCTACTCAAGAATTCATCGGATCTGATATTTCACGAGTTCCATCTGATCTTGAATGGACGCTTGATAACACAGGACTGTATCTACCTCAAGGTCTGATGCGATTCAAGCGTGGATGGAAGCTATTCCGTGAAATGGCTGAAGGCGCCTTCTCTATGTATAACTATGACCCTGAATGCTTTAACTGTGGTGGCCCTAAAGCCATTACCTCCTATGTTCGTGAACGTCGTGGCGTTTTGGAAGCCGGTGGCTTAACTATTTTACCTCGCGAGGTGCTGTATCCTGTTGGCTATCTTGACGTTCATGAATTACTGCAGCCCAATCCTTTGGCAGAACAAGAGATGAAGACAAAGATTGAACCCAGCAGTTGGAACATTCACCTCTTTGGCAAGATGACCAATCACCGTCCTGTAGAGCCTGGTAGCGTGATTGATTACGTGTTTAAGAAATTTGATCTTGATCTACCTCACCGTGATACCAAGAAACATAATATCATCTCGTCCACTGGCAGCTGGAAGGTCCCCATGAGGCTCATGGCGCCAGCAGATTATATTTATCGTGCCGTGTCAGAACGTATGCTAGCAGCTGATAAAGATAAGAGCCTAACGTTGCAGTCAGTACCAGGCAAGTTCCAAGGTCTGAACGTAATCTATATACGTGGTGGTCCCGATAAGATACCAAAGGTGACAATTGAAATATCTGCTTCCATTGGACGTGTTAGACTAGGCCACGAACCTTGGGCCAAGTCAATCAAGAAGGAACTGACTGATGTAACAATGCAGAAAGTCAATAGTGTGTTGAATACAGTTGAATATGGCCCTACTAAACTTATGCTTGCCAACGGTGGAAGAGATCGTATGGTCGTAGGTGTAACTTATGAAGAAGGCAACTCAAAGATAGAAAAAGAACAAACACAGATTACCGTTGTGGTAGTGGAACCTGAAGAAGAGGACGAGCCTCTTGAAGATTAAAAAGTGTATCATAGATCATTCTTGTACAAGATAGCAATCCTCTTTTTTATTGTTATATATACATAAATATAGATATCTTATTTTCTAGGCAATCCGCCTGCGATAAACAAAGCTTGTTCCAAGTCTTCGATGAGATCATCGGGATCTTCAATGCCCACACATAAACGAATCAGGTCTTCGGGCAATGCTCTTTCTGCACGAATGTGAGCAGGGATAGAGGCATGAGACATTCTACAGGGCATACTAATTAAAGAGTTGACGCATCCAAAGGATACACTAATACTCCACAGTTTTGTTGCTTCTACAATTCTTTCTGATAAACCGATATCTCCTGTTTCAAAACTGAGCACGGCTCCTGGTCCAGAAGATTGTGATTGATGTAGTTCGTATTGTGGATGAGATCGCAAGCCGGGGAAGTGAACTTTGAATCCTAATGATTCCAGATATTCTGCGATACGAATGCAACTAGATTGTTGTCTGTCCATACGAACCGCAAGAGTTTTGACACCACGTAACAAAAGCCAAGAATCAAATGGACCAAGCCCACATCCAGTGGCATTAATGACATAATAGAGTTCCTAGATTGCATATTAGAAACTTTCATCTGTAGATGGCTAAGTGTATACATACATCTGCAATGCTAGCTGTTTTACAACCAATAACACCAGCCATAAGGTCATGATGGCCTGATAAGTATTTAGTGCCAGAGTGGTAGGAGATATCAGCTCCCAATTCCAGTGGACGCTGCAAGTAAGGACTCATCATTGTATTATCGACCACAACTAGTGCATTTGGACAACGCTCATGAACGTGCTTTGAAATAGTGCGAATATCACTAATCTTGATCAAGGGGTTTGTTGGGCTCTCTAGCAACACCAGACGAGTTTTGTCAGAAAGATAGGGAATGATTGTGTCGGATTGCGTAGTATCGATATGGTGTGTCTTTATGTTTTGACTCTTGTTTAAGAAGCTTAAAAGTCGATTGGTACCACCGTAGAGGTCATCACCGGCAATGATTTCTTCGCCTGCTCGAACAAGGCGGGTAATGACATCTAATGCGCCCATACCGCTTGTCACTACCAAGGCACGTTCGGCTCCCATTATCTTTGCTAAATGGTTTTCTAGAAAGCAGTTAATTTCTTGTGATGAAGATATACATATATGAAATGATATTTACCAACATGAGTACGAGTGGGATTACCACTACGAGAATAATCGTATTCTCCAGTTGCATTGGCACCTTTCTGCTTGAATGTGGCTGTTTGGTAGATTGGAACGGAAGCAGCATTATGCGGATCATCTGGGCTATCAACTGTGACTACCTCAGTTGCAAACCGATATCTTCTTCTGCTGGCAATGGAAGAAGCAGGTGACATAGGACAGACTTCAGTCATTTTTTTTCTATTTTATAAATAAAGAAAAAGAAAAAAAAAAAAGGAATAGATAATAATTATATCTTTATTATAAGCAAGCAAGTAAGCGAGAGAAGGAGAGATGCTTCATCGTCCAATAAGAAACGAGGGAAATTGTTTGATACTGATGTTCGCAGGATGTGTCATGAAATTCAAACTCCATTTTATTTTACATGAAAGCCAACTTTTTTGACCTTTGGCTCTAGTTTTTCTTGAGGTATATTAACAGTATGAGTGGTGGTAATAGAATTTAAAGAGGATGTTGAAGAGGGCTGCATTGTAAATGGTATGGAATTAGTTGTCTTTGTATGCGCTGATATGTCATCTAATGTCTTCAATAATTCGCTAGTGAAGCGCATGTCAAATATATCCAAGACATATTTGCGCACAGGAGATCTAAAATGGTAGCTGCCTAGTAATTGACACACAGAATAATACAAGTCAACCCGTTTAAATGATTCTGGGTGTGTTTGTTTTAGTTTGGCCAAGTTTTTGAATGCTTCATTTGCTAATATATGATTGCTCATATCTCCAATATGCTTCAGAATATTTGCTCCTATTGAATCCAGGGTTGCTGATCGAGGCAACTGAGGCGGAGATGACAGTGCTGGCTTGTATTTCCAATTTTGAATCTAAAAGGGGGTTATTGTTAATCTAAAGCATAAAACGAATAATAGGGGTTTTTTACAGTTAAAAATTTGTGTAGATTCAGTGGTACACAAAGCCCTTCAGGATCTCCATTAGCAGATACTACGCTTTCCCATCCTATTTCTCCTAGTAACTCTACACCTTGTTGTGTCTTTGCAATTAAACCAAGAACAAAATAACATGTTCTATAACATTCATCAGTGACTCTTTACTACATATATTATAATCAATTTTACCCTTTCAGTGAGAGTATCTCACTATTCTCTGCTAAATTCACAATATCCTTTACGATATCTTCTTCTTCCAGAAACGGTAACCCATTTTTAGTTGCGCCGATATTTCCTAGAGCCCACAAGACAGCCTTCAATTGACTCAAAGATTCGTTTGAAATCACTTTTTCTGACGAACATTTTCGAACATAATCCGCAAATAGTTTAAAATGTCCCTTTTGCCTCAGTAATTCACATCCTTCTTCTGTTTTTGTTAGTTCGCCGTAAAAATGAGGTGGTGTCAAGCCATCACCAGGTTGTCTAGATTTTTTCAGAACAGGTAAATATCAACTATATGATCTCTCTCTTTTTTTGACTTCTTACATTGTTTCAAAATCGTTTTCAGTGTCCACTCTTTCTTCAAATGGATTCACAGCCTTCTTGTCTGGAGAGTTTATTAGCGCTCTCGCCAGCGAAAGCTCTAACTGTGTCACATAGTTTTGATTGCCTCTCTAAATAAATACGAGTTGGGCATAAAGAAACTTTTGAATCATATTTTTTTTCTTTTTTTTTTTTTTTTTTTTCTTGTGTACAAAAACCATGCCACGCCGGCAACTGCGGCTATAGCACCTAATGCCACAATAGCACCAATAACATCGTCATTATTCTTGCCGCTAACCATTCATCCATTTCCTTTTGTACGTAGCCAAGTTTATTCAAGTATCGAAAACCTGTTGAAGTTGACAAGAACCGTAGTAACAATGGGTTGCCGATCTCACCTAGATGACCAAGGCTGGGTCTATATTTGACCAAAAGCTCCAAATTAGCCTGGTTTTCACAAGCTTCGTCCAGGAGATTGACAGCTGTCTGACAGACGTCCATGTGAGTATCATATAATTGAGTCACTAACAGCCGAATGACCCAATCATTGTGTTCTGCTTCGGATTGCCGCATAATCATGCCAATATGTTGTGTAGCAAACAGTCGAATCGGATTATATCCAGAAGTCATAATCTTTGATAATAACACGCGAGGATGACCATCCAGATTATAATCTAAATTGGTGATCATTGCCACTTTTAGATCAGTTCTATTTTTGAGCTCGGATATTTGATAAAAGCAATTGAATATTTTGAACTTTTCCAAAATACGAACACCTTCCTTGTATTTGGAAAATGTTCCCAGTAAAGCAAAATAACCACAGGTCAACGTACTTTCCATCCTTTCCTTTGAAAATATGGGTTCAACCTCTGATTGTCCGTTCGTCTTTAAGGGATCCAGTTCATGAAATGCTTCGGCAATGTCGCCCAGCAATTTACTTTCACCCAAATATCGCACTCCATCTGGGTTGCTTAGCAAAGTTGACAGTAGAGTACAGCCAGTCTTTACATATTTAGTAATTGTGCCTTTTGTCGCGTTAATATCAGAGAATTGATGCTTGAAAGGTCGATAAAAGCCTAGTAGTCGTTTAATAAACTTCTTGCTGCGCATTGCTTCATCTAAACGGCGTGGGTTTAACAGTGGTCCCTGCAGCAGTTCTGTCACACTCTCCCAGTTCCATTTTGTATAGTCATTTGTCGCGAGCACTTGCGTATCCATCAACAGTTGACGAAAGTGAGCATCGTCAATGGCAAATCCTATCTTCAGCTTCACTTCATGTACCTTCTCTTGTGTACGTACTGAAGAATTGCTCAACTGTTCACTTCCCTTATTTAATGCAGGTGCATTGGTGTACCGCGTACGTGCACGAGTCAATCGATCGATATGAGCAAGTGCAGTGGTGGCATTGTGTCTTACTTGTTCGTCTTCAAAATTGGATGCAAGTGTGAATAGTTTGGGAAGTGATTGTACTTGAATGGCCATGAGAATAGGTAAAAGACGAGTTGATAGTTGAAGGATTTCTCCAATTAATAAGGTTGCTTTACGCGAAAGATAAATATCGTCAGATTTGACCATATCCACGAGTGCCATTAATATGTCAGATTCAATAAATATAATAATGATAATGCTTAAATGGTGGTCTAGCATCTTTAATCTTTCTGAATTACTTGCTGAGGTTGCTCCAGTATTTTGAGTGCAACGAACATAGGCGTCAGAACTGATGCCACCAGCTGTTAATAGATTGGTCATGACCATGCTGTTCAACACTGATGTCGGTCCTCGTGGTGGTGTCTTCGGTGATTCATGGCTTGTAGTTGGATTAAGTTGAATAGTATGCTGCCTTCCCGAAAGAAATCCATCGTGGTTATTTGGTAATTTGACTCTAAAAATATCAAAAAACATGTCCAATACTAGTTTCTGCACATGTGTAAGTCAAATCTGCTGCTATAGCGATCAATATTTGATGTTTACCTGAGTCTCGGGAACAGGCATTCTTAATGCTTGCACCACGGATCTTGCCGCTCTCATATTATTCGCGCTCATGTAAAATAAACCAGCCCAGCTCTTAACTAAGGTCGTGACCATTTTTGCACTGTTTTTCAACCTTTCTTCATAATTTGCTCCTTTCCCTGGATCAGTAAATGGTGCAATGATTGTCTCTAGTTCAACACCTGGCCTTAAATAGCATCGCTTATCTGGGGTATCAAGGACATAGAGAACAGACTGTATCAATATTTCAGATATACTTGACTGTCCGTCAATCAATGCTTGCATTATAACCCTTAATCCACCAGCTTTTACTGTAAGTTCAATATCTAGGATGGCTATGTAAAGTGTGTCAATTAGAGTTTTTCATCACAATCTAGCTATACTTACCCAACTCTGCTAGTGTCTCAAGTGCAATGTTTCTTAATTTAGAGTCTTGTTGTTCTGCTATTGCTACTACAGCTCGTACGATCCCTTGTTTGACATGCTTAACACCATCGTATTCAATGAATGATCTGATAAGTTTTAATGTTTGCTCTCTTTCTAGTTCATGCTCTTCTTGGTCTCTAGCTAGCGCTCTTTTTATTACACACAATCAATTAGTATACACCCTCTTCTTTTTTTTTTGGTTTTTGTTAATACCTCATGCTAAATATATCTATCTGGTAATCCATCATAAGTTTTATATCATCTGATCCTTCCACTAACAGACGTAATGCTCGTAGACCCATAATTCGTATCTCTTTTGTCGGACTGACAATACATTGCCTCAGACTAAGGTTGAATGTGTCAAAGACAGACTCTTATGTACTACACTCAGCACTCACCAAGCAATCAACTTTCCTTTCGAACAATATGCACTAAGATCTGTTGTATTTTTCAATATTCTAATTAAAGTTTCAAGTTTTTCCATTTTTGAATCTTTTATCGTATTTCCAGATTTATTACCAGCCTTCCATTCATCTATTTGAAGGGTGTGTATGATATGATCTAGCTTCTTGTCTAAAGACCAAGCATCTAATACATGTATAAGTAAAAGGAGGGGATAGATGGTAAAGGGAGGTTACCGTCATCAGGGAAGGAGACATGTTCCTGTGGTATCTTTTGTTTACTAGCAGAGAGAGATTTCAGTTTGGAGCGTGTTTGTTCTAAGCTAGATGGCGTAATAGAAAACCCATGTCCAATAAATTTATGCGCTTTGAGTATCTTTGCGATTTCAACAATATGGTTTCCTTTGTTATCAGAGTTGTGTTATTCTTGAATATCAACAACAGAACTATGGAATTACCTGCATTTCGACGTATGTTTTCTATTGCCTTTGTTGTCTTGTTAATAGCTTCATTACATTCTTCCAATTGCGTTTCTAGTTCTTTTGTACGTTTCTTGTCTTTTACATAGACTTCCAGCATGTTTTCAACACCAGCTTTTAGTTTTATCTCTTTGTCTAGGCTTGTTAATAAAGCTTCCAGCTTTAAGAGGTTCAGTCTTTTATATACGAATATCTTTAACAAAGCTGCTTTTTCAATACCTCTTGCTTGATTGCTGTAAGGTCTTTAGTTGGCTCAGGTTCAACAGCATCTCTATTTTGTGTGGATGATAAATATTCACTGAGGGACGGTGAAGGACACATAGTGGATATATGTGTGAAAAAAAAGGAAAAACAAAGGGGGAAAAGTGTCGGAATTAGTACAAGTGTTTAAATCACGTGTAACACTGAAAGACAGCAAGTTATGCTAAACTGTTTATTCTATTGTTTCTGTCTGCTTTATCCTTGGCATATATTCATCCAATAGTTTGTATGAATGAGCAATCTCTTTCTTGACCTTTTTATACACTTCATCTTTTATATGTTGATTATAGAAACCTAAATGATGACGTCTTACAAGTAAAGCATGTTCTATGTGAATCACCTGGGTCATCCATTCGATTCCACTCAGAGTTTGAGCTTCATAATGTTTTTTTGGTGGCAATGCTCGAGCTATCTGACTATTCCTCCAAGGGCAATAAATACGATGCTCATTGAACGCGTCAAATGTTTGTTGATCTACATGGAATTGGCTACGAGCAAAACATAGAGTACACTGAACACCAGACATTTGTGGGCTTATATGCTGCCATCCAAACAATGCAAGCAAATACGCATTCGTAATATTTTCTTTAATATCATTTTCATCCGATAATCCTTCTGCATCCCTAATAACATACTGAACCTTTCTCAGAGTAGCATGTTCCTATACCGTTTTTTAACATGTTTAGCCATTATCAACTGATATCATACTTAAATAGTTACAACTTCATTGGAGACATGTGGTATATGCTGGTAAGTGGATATCATCTTTCCTTCATGTTTGAATCTGTTGACTCCTTCAGATAAGGTTATTAATGGAAATGAATAAAGATCATCTATCAAAGGGGAGAGGAGGGGTGTATTAGTATTAGCTCCTCTTTGTTCTTCATTTTAATTTACCTGAAGAACACTCTTTTCTCCAAACACAGTCTTCTTTATGCCAATTAAAGAGCCCTTCTTTATATTTTTTCTCTATATTACCAACTTTACAGAATTATATACCAAGTATACCAATATAAGTTTTGTATCCTATTTTACCTTGTGTATTATCATAGCGTCCAGGTTCAATATCTATCACATAAATATCACTGGTACATTCTACACAGTGAAGAATAGCAAGGAAAGGATCTTTATCGACTATCTTGTGTGAATTAATCCAACCATGCTGTGCACATTCCAAAGCAGACAACGGGCGTGGTTTATGATGATATAAGTAAGAGTATGTTTTTAGTCTATGCATCAACTTTTCTTTGTCATTGATTAAGGATGTATCTAATTTAGTTCTTTTTGCTTGAATCTCTTTTTCAGCTTTTCTTTTTCTAAAAGAACTCGGAAAAATGCCTTGCTTCTTTCGGACATGTTTAAGTAGGCTTTGTAATTCTTTAAGTTTTTTTTCCAAAATGTCTTCTTTACTCTCATTTGTTTCTGATTCTACTGATTGATTTTCAACAGTTCCCGTTGATGACTCGTTTTGAGTATTTTCTTCTACTTTATCGCTTTGCTCATCATTGATTGCATCATCGTTGTCTGTTATTGTTACTGCTTTATTTGTCTGTTTCTCTGGCGTTGATTGTACATCCATTGTGGTTGAGTTAAGCAAAATGAAGAAAGAAAGCGTAATGTTTAAAGACCGACTGTCTATTATTTTCTATTTAACAAAAAATAAATTATAGTTCTATGGTGGAAGACAATTTCCGTTCAAAAGGCAAAGACGATAGGAACCCATTATGTTCCAATTCAGAACTGTAGGCAGCTGCAGTGGTGTACCACGAAGTGTCATAGAAGACACAATACCAGTGATATTTCAATGTAGTTGCGATACTCGCGCCAAGAAACAAAGAATGTCAGTATCGATTGTTGTTTGTTCGTCTACTGGAATAAAAGAAGTAAGCACGGACTAGATTTCGTCTGTGGTGAGGAACTCGTCCGGCAGAGCATATCTCTCGAAGGTTGAGAACCATAAGCTAAGCTTGAGAGGGCAGTTCACAAAGAGGTGGAGATGCGTTTCAATGCCTTGCTGACAGGGTCTGCACAGCGGGGAGGCAGTCAATTTGGGATTTCAAGCATGCTGTAAAGCAGTCGTAGGGACGTACTCATGTAGCAGGCGAAACCATGGTGTGAATGCCTTAGGAGGTATATCCAGGGGCTAAAAAGTTTGCCAGTACTGACGTCGAAGAAGCAGCGAATGAGGCAGAGCCAAAGGCAGATGACGTGGGTATGTAAGCAAATCGTTGTCTTTGTTCCAGAAGAAACGGACCTGATCAGGAGATATCTTGACAATCGGAAAAGGTGCTACATTGGATTTATGCGTAAGGTTTGGGACAGTCCAATGAGCACAGAAGGGCATCCAAGAGGAGTCATTTTCAAATCTAGCAGGCGTTGACACCCGAGAGCCCAAAGTGGAGAAGTCGTCGCGAGGATCAAAAGTAGAACGTCTAACCTCTGATGTCAACTACAGAGTGACTTGAGTTGCTCTTCGGCTTGGGAAAAGGCCCTTTCTGAGCGCGCGGAGGGCAGAGGATATGGATATACGGAATGAAAATATGAACCAGGAGATTATAAGACATTTTTTTGGCTATACTCATTCAGTGCAGCCCCTTTGAGGGTTTTTATTGTCATGCGTATGAGATATTGAACAACCGTGAGGGCTCCAGTCTCAACAGTGAAGATAGATTTAACAGCGGTAGTTCTACCGAAAGCGGATCGACTTATATTATCACAAGTCCATGGATGAGAATGAAACTAATTGAAGGAGGTGATAGACGCACTCACAGCCTGCCAACAATGAAAGAAGTTGCTGCAGTTATTCTTATTAAGTATATTGACAGAAGCTTCCATGACATTGTTCTTACCTTGAGATGCAGCAGAAGAAATGATAGTCTCCGTCAAAGACATGATTTTGAGCAGTACTTCCAACGTATCAGCCAGACGTATGCTGCATACATGCCCAATCACTACGTCCTTTTATTTTCTCATGGAGCATGTGAGTGACGTTAGGGTTTATGCCTCTTCTTTTCCCTCTTTACTATTACTCCTTCGATCATTGTTTCTTATATTTAAATGATGATCCATGATCATCTTGTGCCATTTTAGTATCCTTATCCCATCACTTTTATAAAGAACTACTTTGAGGGTCATAGCAAGTTGTGCAGTGTGTCAAAAGCGGAGTGGCTTTTCATTCGAGAAACATTTTACTATTAAAAACAATGTTGTCGATCGTTAATTTAACATGACAAGGCTATCCACAGCTATTTTCCCTTTTTCCTTCTTTTCTTTACTTCAATATGAAGCAAAAGAAAGATGACGGCCCTCCACTTTCTAAGGTAAAGTGCAACAAAAGAAAAGGTATGTAAGCTATAAAGTTGACGTAGTATTTATTAAGGACCCATTTAGCCGTCGATCGTGGGTTCACTTCTTTGTTTGCACAAACACAAACAAGTTTATTTAAAAGTACGGCTTTTGAAGCAAGCGATAATGACTTTCAAGAAACCCCATTACTTAGAAAAGGCAAAGATAACATCTATTAGTTCCATCTGTTTTATAACCGAATGTTGTAATAGACAAGAACATCCGTTAAAAATTGCTAAAGAAGATACATCTACTCCTGACCTTTCAGATGTTGCTACCAGTGACAAGGCATCTATGCCTATAATCAACAAAGATATGAGCGTTCAAGCTGTATTATCTGCTCCTATTTCTTCCACTAGCTGTACTTCTGCTCCCATCAAGGCCCCCAAGAAATATCAAGACAAGGTTGATAAGATTGAAGCACTTAAAAAGGAGAAAGAGAAGATTAAGACGTCAAGTAATGAGCAAAAACAAGTACGATGTCCTTGCGGTGGAATCGATCACTCTAGTTCCTCCAGCAAGTTGTGTTCTATGAATAAATTAAAAACGAAATCTCCAAGCCCAAGGATATCGTCGAGAAAACTTCTGTAATCAAGACATCTTTGACTAATACTTGCAGATATCCCAAGCTCGTTACCCTGATTCAAGAAGTAGTTGACCATGTCACTCAGTTGGTATACTCTGAATCCATCTTTGCTAATTGCATCTCTTGGAACTTCTTGAGAATGGTGAAGAACTACCTGTGATCACTCAAAATCTGTTCTATAACATATTTTTCATCTTTGTTGGCCAAGGAAAGCATGCTTCTGATAGCATCAAGAAGAACTTCAGGGCCTTTTGTGAATCTACTTCTCTTACTCAATCTGACCTAGGCAAGTACGCAAGTAAAGGATATACGACCATTGTATCTTCTATGGCCAAACAATATGAAACACTTGTCCACAATTACGTATGGTTTACTTACGAAGACAGAACTCTCAGACATATTCTTGAAGTCTTATCCGAAAAGGCCTCTCCTTACTTCTGTGGCGATAGCCTAACTGTCAAACAACGCAAGCCTTTAGCCAAACATATCTTTCAACAAAAGATAAACCCCAAGTCTGCCTGGTCATCCACTGTATACCGAATTGAGCGATATGAAACCATTGTCAATAACTTTCTTACTTTCTGGTCAATGTACGGTGCTTCCAATGATGCTGACGTACCAAGTGAAGCTAATCTGTATGCCAAACCTCAATGCTACATGAAATGGTTACACTTTATGCAGAAGGAATTAGAACAAAAGAAGTTCATTCAAGAAATGAAACCTCAAGACAAAGCAGCATGCAGTTATGTTCATAGAAAGTTACAAGAATTTCCTTTTGTCAAGAATTTGAATACAAGCAAGCACAGGTCATTAAAGGAAAAACACATTGACCGCTATCAATTCCAACAAGACCTTGGAAATAACAAGCAAGCTTAGAAATATTGATAAAAAGGATGTTGCTGCTGTTCAAAACTTTATCAAAACAATACAAGCAAGAATTCAAGACAAGACCCTCATACCTCTCAAATACACTAATCCTTGAGGATCAAGATACTTTTCTTTATTTCCCTTGTACATGATTGATTCCAAGAGTGTACATATTGACGCTAAATCTTTCTGGAAGCTTGCCAAGCAATGTGACAACAAGATCAAACCATGTCAAAAGAGTGGTAATGACTTAAATTTATGGTACTTTAATGTCTTTGATTTTTCAAAAATAGACTACAAGGCACTTGAAAGCTTGACTTCACGTCTAAAGAAGTTTGCGTACGTATGCTTACATGGCTTTTATTTTTGGACAAAACAAACGTTGTCATTGTAGAAATGTGATCACTACTGATGGTTATGCTGTATCCTTTGTGTTTAAGAAAACTGTTTCCATCCAAGATGAACCTAGAAGAGAACCAAAGGCTCCCAAGGATTTTGCTGATATATTTGACGACGCAGATATTTGGGTTGTTGATCCTGGTATATCAACATATTTACTGCAGTTGACTCTACAGAGCATGGACATATCTGAACAACAAATTTGGAAGAATACTATCATTTGTGTGGTTACAATCTTGCTATAAGAAAACGAAAAGGACACCAAAAGTGTCATTTAGACGAATTTAAGTATATTAATGGATTACCTACTTTAAAAACTGCAAACCTGACCTCATTTTTACTGGCTGCTTCTACACGTCTACAGCACTATCAAAGAATTCATAGCTAATACTGTCAATATAAATGGTATATCGCTCCCTTGCATGATGTGTATTTTAACAAAGCTACGTATGTAATAGGTCTCAAAAGCTAAAGTTCAAAGTATATATCAACAAGCAAAAAGGAACCCAAGAAATTGTTAAAAGACTCTTTGACAACAGCAAGAAATATGGCACATCAAGCACAGTTGGCGCTAAAAACCAAACATGTACCCCTACCTCCTGCTGACCTCCCTTCCTACTCTCAACGAAAGCGGATCACTGCGGTCATAAATGACTCTTTTTGTTCAAGTATGAAAGGCAAACGAGCTGCACCTACTAGACGTATTACTGAAGAAATCAAACAAAATGCAAACAATCCAACGGGGGGACCGAATTTATTTCGGTTGACGAGTATTTAACGAGTCAGATATGTAATAGGTGTAAAATGAAAGAAATGAATAATTTCTCTGTTTCTAAATCAAAGCGAAGAGTACACTCTGTCCTCAAGTGTGAGTCTTGCGGTACGGCTTGGAGTCGCAATGTGAACAGTGCATTAAATATATATAATATCTTTGCTTACAAATCAAAACACGACAATGAAAGTCCTCCGCCCTTCAAAAGACTCTCAAAAGGCTAACGGTGCTCTTGGATTTAATGCGCTGCCTATAACGACAGTGCATTCCTTAACGTCTCGGTAAGTATAAAATGAGAAGTACATTATTTTTTATTCATTTTTCTTCTAGTTATAATGTTATTAAATAAATTAAAGTGGTATAACTTTTTTTGGGAGAGTCTATTTTTGGTGAGTCTATTATTAAATTAAGTAATGATATTCTAAGCTTCTTTTTTCATGAGGATGCATCCAAGGTCCATCGTTCATCTTATCCGTACGCGTTTCCGTTTGGTTGGTTTGAATGCGTGTCTCTGTACCGTCTTCTCCAATCACAATCTTCTCTTCATTGCTGTTGCTAATAGCTGAGAAATTAGAAGCATTGAATCCACGGACTTGGTTGCCTCTGCCTTTCTTTGCTCGATTTCCATAAGAATTAGGTCGATCACTTGCAGGCGCTTTGACTGTTGGTGGTTTGATGGCAGCCGCTTTGACTGCTGGTGGGTTGGTAGCAGGAGGGTCGTTAGCGGGCGTAGTATTGCTGGATCGATTACTACCAGGAGGATCGGTTGCTGGTGAAACGTTGGCAGGAGGATTGTTAGCAGGAGGGTCGTTTGCGGGTGAAACGTTGGCAGGAGGACTGATAGCGGGTGGATCATTGACAGGCAGATTGTTAGTGGGTGGATCGTTGGTAGGCGGATTATTACTAGGTTGATTATTACCAGGCGGATTAGCTGGTTGCGTTGTATTATCATCACAGTCTTTTTCAGTATTAGTAGAATTGCCATTACCGCCTCCTCCACTACTGCTTGATGAGCTGCTACTACTACTACTACTACTGCCGCTTCCACTGCTACTGCTACTTGATGAACTACTGCTACTACTTCCACCGCCGCCGCTACTACTGCTACTGCTACTGCTGCTAGAATGACCATTTGACCCACTGCTACTGCTACTACTACTAGCTGAACTAGTACAAACGCCATTTTCATCGCAGCTACTTGTTGCACTACTTGACGAACTGGATGATCCTCCTGAGCCACTGCCACTACTGCTGCTACTACTTGATGAACTGCTACTTGATCCTCCATTTTTCCCTGAGCTACTGCTGCTGCTGCTGCTGCTGCTACTTGATGAAGAAGATCCACCGGATTTACCAGGTTGGTTTGGTGTCCCATGGTCACAGGCACAACTAGTACAAGGATGATGTGTTCCATCCTGATTTGAACCTCCTGTGTTATTGCCATCCGCCCCTGAGCCAGGATGATTACAGTTAGGTGAAGCAGATATTGTGCTTGAAGATGAACTGGATGTGGAAGAAGGTACTGAGGAGGACGCAGGCACAGAGGAGGATGCTCCTGGAGAAGATGAGCTAGAAGGCTGTGAGCCGCCACTCGATGAGGGACCATCAGGACCTCGTGGTCTTGAAGCAGTTGAGGCTGGTGAGGATGAATTTGGTGGTATTGGAGTTGCAGAAGAGCTACATAGAAGAAATTTTAGTTATCAAGGAGCGATGTGTGCTTTCAATTACTTACCTTGGTACAGAGCTGGGGTCAGTAGGTAAAGGTACATTGGGTACTGGAGATGACGATGACGGTGAAGGCGTCACTTGTGTGCCACTAGATGGTGAAGAAGATGGCTGACCAGGTGGGAATCTAGGGTCTGTGGGTGATGGAGAAGATGG